CACGGCCAACATGCCCACTTCTGTAACGCAACATACTTCCGTGCCATGGCAGGTAAGTAAAGAGCAGAAAATTGGAACTTCTCCAAACATAAGCTATGTGAAACAGGAGCCCTCTGAGCAGGCTCTCGAGAGACTACCAAAGCCCCAAGTTTCTTCATCCCAGGGGCCTACCTTTTCAGGCGCTGTACTAGTTGATCAAGGAGAATCACTTCCAGTGGGCGCAAATGATGAATCGTCAGAGAGACATAATTCTGGAATCGCCTTTCAATCTTCATTGAGGATCACAACTATGCCAACCATGAGTTCTGGTTCATCCCGCATGGATACTGACTTCCAGGTAAGTTTTGGCATGATTATAGTGGTTTGTAGATATACAATTACGGGCGAACGATGGAAAATTGAACCCGCGCATGGTGGATTCACAATCCACTGCCTTGATCCACTTGGCATTTTCCAATTAGGACTGCCATTACTGTTGTTAGGAATGCATGAGCTGATAGTATGATACGCTCATGAATTGCTTGTGAACTTGCTCAGTCGAAACATGCTTGTGCAATTGATAAACAGGGTCAAACAAAAATTTTAATCTTGTTGAGCCAAACTTGAACAAATAAGGAAGGAAAGGAACTGGAGGGGAGAGAAATTGAGGGATTATACTGTAAGCAATATGGAGAGATTTGGAAAGAAAATTCATCATTTTTCCCTCCCCTTCTTTATCCACACACACTTTTAGGGATGGGTAATGAAGGATTTCCTCATTACGATTGGATTGCACCAAGGATGGATTTACTTTTCTTCTTCTTTTTTTTTTTTTTTTTTTTGTTTTGTTTTTTGTTTGTTGTCTATGAGATGTTGTGGTATATGCTTTTTGTAGATGGTATTGTATTGAGACTAAAGCTGGGGTTATGCTAAGGTGGAGTGATGTAGACAAAAGATAGCTACTTTAAGGGCAAGACAGTAAAATCAAGTACGTGGAATGTCATTTTAGTGCTGGGAGGGAGGAGTAGCGAAGATGTGACACAAGTTTGTACGGAGCTACCTGTGAGTAGATTTTTTTAGTACCTTGGAGGCTTGGATTGATATTAGAGAAGAGTGGAGATATATAATGATGTAATTCATGGTGGAGAATCGACTGGTTGGTAGTAATCAGCTTGCCTGGTTGTGAAATCATTGCGTACTGGTAAGGTTAAAGGGATAATTATATAGGATGACTATTATTCTGGCGTTGTTATATGGTTTCTATGTTCTGATGGATGTGTAGCTGTGTTGCAACACTTTGAGAAAGTTGGAGTTGTGGATGTTGAGGTTAAATATGGGAGAATTTGCTACGGTGTTATGGACATGTGAGAAAGATCGGAGGATGCTGGTAAAGATGACTTGGATAGAGGGAATTGAAAGTGACACGGAAAACTGGGTTTACTAGAGCATGTAGTGCAATGAGTGAAGCAAATGGAGGAAAAAGATTTTTGTGACCACAGAAGATAGCTGACCCCATCATTTTCGGAATATGGCTTTGGTTTTGTTGTTAGTTGTTTGATATCCAAAGGTAACTGGTTGATTTCTGGAAAGAGCAGATATATGTAGTTTGTAGCTAGATTTTTCTTTCTAATATGGAAGGACAAAGGGTGTGGACTCTCTGGGGGTGGGGTGTTGGTGGTTTAATTAGTTTATTTCCATTCTAAAATGGAAGGATGGAGGGTATGGACTTAATGTGGGGCATGCACTGTTATTGACAGGCATCATCTGGATTATAGGGTTGTACATATTGCAGTTTTGGACTGCAACTTTGAACTGATATGTTTCATTATCTCGCTACTTTCTCTGATGTTGAACTTATTCTCAATGAATTTAAGCTAGAAGAAAAGAACTTTTAATCTAGCCAACAAGCTCAGCCTTTCTGTGTATCTCTGACTTTTATTTACTACTTTTGATTTCTCCGCCATATTTGAAGAGTATTTCTATTTGTTGCTCCTTAGTTTTCGTTTCTTTTTAGTAATGATACATGTCATACATTTAATCTTGTTCCATGCATCTTAGTAATCAGTCCCTTCTCTATATTCGCTTATGCTTGTTTGTATACTATGCCATGTATTCCTTATTCTTTGGATCCAACAAGTAGAGCACCTGCTTTATATATTTTCTGATTATTAGGTAGGGTCTCAAACTATTTCTGCTAGCCCATTGGGTGGGATTGGGAGCAATTCCAAGGTATCAACTAAAAAGCCATCTAGTGGTCAGAAGAAGCCACATGACGCACTTGATTCTTCGCCACCTCTACCCAGGTTAGCTTTAGATTTGAGACTGAATTTACAGATCTGGTTATCAAGTGTCTGTTTTAAATCCTAAGAAATATTCTTTCCATCATGATTCATGCCTTGTAGTAAGAAGCAGAAAGCTTCTGGGGCATTCTCTGATCAAAGCATTGAACATCTTAATGACGTTGCTGCTGTTAGTGGAATTAATATGAGGGTATGGCGTTTATCTCCATTGCTGCTACTTATCCCAACTCCTGTAGCTGATTTAGCATTGGTTTTGCCTGGACCCTCAACCCAATATCTTACATGGTGTGATTTGATAGGAAGAGGAGGAACAGTTATTTTCTGTTCCCAAGGATGATAGTAGAGTATCAGAGGCTTCTCGTAAGGCTGTTCAAGAAGAAGAAGATAGACTAATTCTGCAAAAGGTTCCTCTCCAGAAGAAGTTAGCAGAAATAAGTTAATATTCGATCATCTTTGTTTTTAGAATTCTGTAACTTTGCTAGATAATAGTTTAGTAGGGGTAAGGTTGTCTTGTTGCTTATAATTTTTTTTTTTTTTTTTTTTTTTTTTTTTTTTTTTTTAACTGTGTCTGACAGTGACAAAAAGTGGGTTAAAGAACTTGAGCAATGATGTGGACCGGTGCCTCTCACTAGTAAGATTCTCACTGCTTCATCCTTCTGCTTCTCCCATGCTTTCAGTATCCTTTAATCAGTTTCTCTTTAGTGTGTAGAGGAAAGACTACGTGCCTTGATAAGCAATCTGATCAGAGTGTCAAAACAGGTATTGTTTCTCTTCTTTTTTTTGTCAAAGTAATTTTATTTTATTTTTTCTTTGCCTGCATCCTGAGTTAAATAAAAAAATCTTGGTTCTAACAGCGGGCTGACTCTGAGAAGTCAAGGCACGCTACTGTTGTCACTTCTGACGTCCGAGAACAAATTTTAGAGATTAACCGAAAAGCTAGAGAAGAATGGGAGAAGAAACAAGCTGAAGATGAGAAACTCCGGAAACAAAATGAAGTGTGCATCTTACTATGCTTGCATTAAAATTACCTTTTTTTTCCCCAATGATGTAATTGAAATTCATGATTAAGGTTAATGTATATATATGGTCATAGCAGCCAGATAGCAGTGCTATAGTTGATGCTGACAAGGAAAAAGATGATGGGCGTGCAAAGTCACTGAAGGTATTACTACATAATTTTAACATATACCAATATACCATTGAAGAGTTATATTAAGTCATATAATTTTCTGCACAGATGCCAGTGAACAAAGAGGAGGATGACAAATTGCGCACTACAGCAGCAAATGTTGCTGCCAGAGCTGCTGTTGGAGGTGATGACATGTTGTCCAAATGGCAGCTTATGGCACAGCAGGCTCGCCAAAAGCGTGATGGTGGACCTGAAATTCCAACTAGTTCCCAGGCAGGTAAAGATGCAACTAATAAGCAACTCACAACCTCTGTCGGGAATGTTAGGGAAACTCGAGGAACGGGAAAAAGGGATACGGCAGCTGCTCTCTCTGCATCAGGTAACACACACACTTTGTTAATACCCGATCATGGAAATTAAATCTCACTTACCCTTCCTCGTGTACCTTTTTATCTCTATTACCATCCCTATTTACACCCCCAGGTCAACTCCCGGAAGAAAAAGAAATAATTGTTTGAATATGTAAACCTGGTTTATTGCTGTAGGAGTGGGGAAACAAGGTGGTAAAAGCCAAGTCGCTGTGCCACCTCCTAGAGTAACTCCACGTATCTCCGTCAAGGATGTGATTGCTGTGCTGGAAAAAGAACCCCAAATGGCAAAGTCCACTATAATTTATAGACTCTACGACAAAATGCATTGTGATCCTGCAGCTGAGTGAAAGGCCAGGGATATAGACTTAACGGTAACTTCTGATGGAGCTTCAACCATGCTGATCTGTTTGCTGTACAGTACCTATGCAGTTTTGTCCTAGCCTCCTTAGGGCCCTTAATTCTTACATTTCTGGTTTATTGGCGATCAAACGAATAATCATAGATAGTTTGTAGTTATGTTTACTGCTTTGCTTTTATGTATTTGTATTTGTTTTCTTGGATAGGCCCTCTGAGGTTTTATGAATCAGAAGCGTCTCTTGCCCTTTGTAAACGTAATTGTAAGGGATATGATGTAGCAGTAAGCCTTGATTTTACCTGTGCTGCTGGGTTCTAGCCGGTGACCACGGGCGGGTTTTGTAGCTTTATAAAGTTAGTATTATAAGATGAGGATCTTGCAACATTAATCCATGTTACTAAAAATATAATCAATAAATCATTTGTATGTAGCTATCCAATATTCCAATCTGTAATGGTACTTTTTTTTTTTTTTTTGAAAGAATGGTACTCTATATTTAATTCTTCTTATTTTTGCAAATACTATTTCCTAAATTTTTTTGAAATGATACTCTACTAATATGTACCTCAATATGATAATGATCTCCAAAGTAGTAACAAACAAATTATCAGAAGATGACATTATTAGGCAAGATGACGTCGGTACCAATGTTGGGGGAATGGGCTGGGTCTCGGCAGCCCGCTGGCTGGGGAGGTTGTGCTAGTGGGAGTAAGAGTGGTGGGTTAATTTTTAAAAAAATTTCTTTTAAATTTTTTTAATGTTTTATAACAAATTAACTAATATCACGTGACATATTAACCTTAATGACTAGCGGAGTTAATTTTTTTATTAATGACATTTGATGACATTTTTGTGAAACTCGTGGGTATATTGTGAATTTGAAATTTTTTATGAATATCTGGTGAATAGAAAAATTAGGGTGAAAATTTCATATGATAGGGTTACTTCGTATGTACTTCAAAGAAGATAAGATCAAATTATATCAAATCTTTTTATTTGTATCATATAGCTAACTTTAAATTTCGTAACTTAAAACCTCCGTTTCACAATAATCATCCAAATAAGATTCGGAGCAATAAAGAAAAATCCGCATTGGAACTTCACAATTTAATTTCAACCATGTCAAATTAAACGAAGCCGCGCAGATTAATGAAACGTCTAAGTCCACACTCATCCCTATTTTCTAGTGCCGTTCAAATCCTTCATCGTTAAGATTGAGGCCACTTGAAAAAAAAGCTGAATTCTTGAATTTATTTTTCTGGGTATTTCATCAAAGTTATTATTATTACTCCAAAATATGGTAAAATGGGTCAAAAAATCTCAAAAGATGAATTGGTTTATCAGCAAGTGATTGAAGGAAATATTAATGCCATTAAAACTCTTTTCACTGGAGGTGCTCGACTCGAGGTATCCCTCTTCTTCAATCTTGTAGTTATCATTTTCTGGGTTGTTGTTTTGATTTTTAGTGGATAGAATAATAATTTAATTTAGTTTTTTTTTATGTTATGATCATAATTTTCTGGGTTTGATTTATAGTGGATTGATAAAGAAGGGAAAACTCCATTGATTGTGGCTTGTATGGATCCTAGACTTTATATTGTGGCCAAGACTTTGATTGAACTGGGTGCAAATGTTAATGCTTATCGCCCTGGTATGTTTTTTTAATTGGACCCTTTATTTGTTTGCACTTAAGAATTGCTTTTAGTTTGCTAGAATCAGTTTATGGTTGCAAAGTAGCTACATTGGGTTGAAGTCGGTCTCAGGTCATGTGTACCACCCTTGATACTTTAACCAACTGAGCTAGTTGGCATTTAATAATTGTATATTTTGCTTAAGTTAGATTATGATACTTATTGGATGTTCTTGTATGATTTGATTTATTAATTCCAGAAATTAATAATTTTTAGTAGGGCTATAATCACAAAATTTGTTACTTAATTTGGCTGAATCACGGTAGGTTGTTTGTTAACCAATAATGTACTGTCACATAGATGTTTGGGAGTGGTTTGCTTGTTCACCAATAATGTACTTAGATGTTTTAAAGTGGTTTGCTTGTTCACCAATAATGTACTTAGATGTTTTGGAGTGGTTTTATGTAACGCGCCCCCTTCCCCTTTGTAATGCGATGGGAACTGCGGGTGAATCTATGGAAGCGTGATTGCTTTGGGAGTAAATTGATATATCATGAAGATTGAGCTAAGATAATTAGAATTATGCTTCCTTTGACAAAAATAATTTGTGTCTTTTATAGTAATGCTACTAGTGCACACTGGTCTGGTCTTTATAGATGTACCCTCTGAATTATGTATTTATAGAATTGCATTTCCTACAAGATTATGGAGAGAGTTGATTCAGTATATTAGCATACGCAACTCAAAGTATTCTCTTGTGAATATTTCTGTCAGAAATTATGTCTCTTCGTTGATCTTAATCATTTCCATTGGCATGTTAGGGATTCATGCGGGTACGCCTTTGCATCATGCTGCGAAAAGAGGCCTGGACCACACTGTTAAGTTGCTTCTCTTGCATGGAGGTGAATATCATAGTAGTCACTGTTTGACTGTTTGTTCTAGATATCCTTCTGACATAGCGTTATTTGAAACATAAAGTGAGCAAAGATTTTGGATTGCCAGACATTTATGATAGGCTCTGTTGAATAAACTTGCAGCAAACCCTTTTGCAAGTAATGATGATTGTAAAACACCGCTAGAAGTAGCAAGAACAAAGGGTTACTGCAATGTTGTCCGTGCAATTGAGGTTCTTTCTTTTTGCTTGATCTTCATAAATATACATTCATAATTTGAAGATATACAGCTAAATACGGTTATCTCTTTATGCCCTACTTTTTGTCCTTCGGATTTTTCTCCCCTTCATCACAGGCACATATATGCTACTTCTCTGGTGAAATACGTGAGATTCTGCAGATGCCAAGCATCCTTGGTTCTTTGGTGCCTCATCGATTAGCTAGAAAACGCTCAAAGTAATGCCTCTGTCATCATTTGCACTTTGCATGTTTCATTTATAGCTGCTCTCTCTATCTATTTTATTGAAGAGGATCGGGAGTTGAATGTATTCTTCGTTGTAGCTACAGCTCTCTTACCTTTTTCCTATCTTTTCTAGGAAGAGTTGGGCGGTGGTTGTTCCTTGCAGCCTCCCTAATACAGGAGGGCCTATAAGATTGGAGCTTGCTGTGTATTCTAGTGCGCAGGTATGTAACATTATGACTAAGTGTAACATGAATTATTGTTTGAAACTATAGAGTTTGCTTCTGAAGATTATCATATTCGATTTTGCCCGTGTGTAAGAACTCTAGGATTGTGATTAGGAGTTTACTCTTTAAACAAATATTTTTTTTTTACCTTTGTGTGTGTTTTTGTCATATGAGCCTATCTTGTTCAGTTCCTCTGTTTAAGGCTCGAGAGCAAATGACATTAAGGGCTTGAGTGGTGTAAGCCTGACTTGACCTTAAATACTGTTGCCAATTTGCCTTACATGAACATATTTTTGTATAAAAGTCATTTAGTAACTATATTAATGGCCTATTACATCTTCTAAAAATGGTATTAATGAACAGGATACCCAGCCTCATACTGTCATTCCTCTTTGGAAGTCCAACATCGTGGAACCAAAGTTTCGTAAGTCAGATCCCTCCTTGACAATCTTCAACGAGTTCACTGGTAAGCTTGTTACTATTAATTGTTTATTGGCCGAACTCACTTTTTGGCATGCCTGCTCTATGTTGTCCTGTGATGAAGGGATATCCGATTTTTATCTATTCTAAAATCTAAGCTAGTTTCTACTTCTAAATTTTTAAGTGATTTATGGTTATGCCTCATACTGTAAGTTACTATATGAGCAAAAGACTGGGTAGGAGTACCATGCATAATTATGTCATGCTTGTTAGAAAGCTTGTAAATTTTTTAATGTTGGAATTAGAAAAGCGGTATAAAACGTCTGATAATTTCTGTCACTGGTCACATAAATATTGGATGCATCCTTCTATCAGAGATAATGTGCTTTGGGTTCTATATATTTGGAGAATTTTTAATCATGAAGTTTATTGGGCTTGTCGATGAAAAATAATTAATGGCACTATCTTTGTGGTAGCTCTATGCTTGTACCTGTATGTGAATTAGTAATCTGATGAAGTTTTTTGTATTGAATTGTCAGCCCTATCCATTTTTTTGCTGAGGTCTCTCTTACATACTTTCTGTTCTGACGTTTTTCAGGGTCCCGTTTTAGATTTTTATCTGTCATCAAGGGAGACAAGCAGCAACTTGGTCAGTTACACAGTGCTTGCAAAGGGTTTCTTAAGGTATGTACTAAGTAGCCTAGTATTTTTTTGGGATCAATTTCTGTCTTGTGGCTTTTGCACTCTGGCTGGCATACCCTTTTTTTTTCTTTTTTCTTTGGCGACTGAAATTACTTTTTTATATTGTTTGGATAACTCATGATCTTAAAAAAAAATTCTTAAAGATTTAATTTGCTCAAATTTATATAGTATTAACTGATTAGTAGCTTTGGAGATTTTTATCTAACTTCTGTAATGGCACCACTAAGCATTTTTGGTGTGTAAAAATGTAACTAAATAACATATTAGGTTGAATGAATAGAAAGTAAATAAAAATAGCTTTTAGTCTCCTAACCCTATCACTGAAATCTGAAACCATAAACCAAGCTTCCTCTCTATACATAATTACCTCCTGCTACCTCTCACCTCTTGAAAAAATTGGACCTGCATGTCCTAGTTCTGAATCCTATGACAGTTATGAGTACCAAGCTTAATACCTATGAATCTTAGGTGGTCAGCCTGTCATCTAGAGTGTGCATCCCATGGTCTCTGAATCCCTGATGGTCTCATGGAGCTTACATCAAATTATTGTAACCCTGAGATGATGTGGCCTACAGCTCGGGTGTTTAGAGGTTCTCCTTGGTTGAAGTTTCAGAGCATGCAGCCCACAATTCAAATGCATTGGAGAAAGACAGTAGCTTGTGCATTAAAAAGTATTGATTGCTTAAACCCGATGGCTGAAGTCTATAGATCAGACTCATCGGAGCTCTAGGCTGCTCATGAGTTATTGCCTGTAAATCCCAGCTGAGCATTTGCTTACAGATCCAGAACCCATCAAATAAAACAATTCACCTATGTATCTCAATTATCCAACATTGGTTGTTGTAGGGCAGAATCAATGATATATTGCTATAGCCAGCTCATTCCCAAACAGTGTTATATGATACATAATTTGATGATTCCAGAAAACCTTGATGCACCCTTTGGAATAGTACCAAAATCTGTACTCTAGCTACTAGTGAGCTTTGGCTCCCAACTCTCTCCACGCCTCCCAATAATACACAGTGATGATTAATGAATGACTATTATTCTTGTATTACTGAAGTTGAAGCCTGCATTCACGGTAGGTTGGGTTATGAGATTACTAAGGCTTCCTTCTGTTGAAGCCTATAGCTTCTGATCGTGTGATAAGATCCTGAAAATGGCTCATATTAACTACAGAGTAGGTTCAATTTGATAATAATTTCAAACGTAGCTAGGATCTGGAGTCTACTCAGCTCTGTATGTAGCTAGAAAAGTAATTTCTAGCCTCTCTTTATGTAATGTACTTGGGAATCTCCTTGATTCTTATATTTTGAAGGACTTCTGATTCTCCTTATTTGCAGCTTCTCCTTTACTGAGATTTTCTTTCTTTAACTATCATCACTCACTACTTGGGCCAAACTATATTATGTGACTATAATGATTATTGAGGGATTTGACATAAAGACATATAAGGAGAACATATTTTGGAGGATTTTTTCCAAACTTTAGGAGCAAAAAATTGTACTAGTGGCAGCCATTTTAATTGAATAAAGATATAAAGTTAAAGATACATGCAAGAATAGTGGAGTTATTTATGCAACTATGTTATGAATTGCACTGCATTTCTTCAGTAGATTTTTTGCAACCTTAACTCTTTGGATTCTGACCACCTCTGAATTTGGCAATCTAGGTTAGACCTTCCCCTCAGCTGTCCAGCGCCGGAGATTCTGCACAATCTGAAGCTAACACAAGCAATCAGCCAGTCAATTCTACAGCTGTCATCTCAGCAGCAATTCTTTCAGCTCCATCAGCTCCTCCCTTACCCATGGACGGTGTAGTTCATGGGCCTATTCATCATGCAGCAATCGATATGGATCGTGTTGACTTGTCTGTTACCAGTAGCAAAGAAAATGGTAAAACAGCAGCGCCTTGTTGTGTGATATGCTGGGAAGCTCCAATTGAGGGGGCTTGCGTTCCTTGTGGTCATATGGCTGGCTGTATCTCGTGCTTGTCAGAAATCAAATCCAAGAAAGGGCTTTGTCCGGTTTGCCGAACCAAGATTGACAAGGTTCTCAGGCTATATGCTGTTTGAAAGAGGCTTGACTTTTTTTTTTTTTTTTTGATGTTTGCCAGTGTGGAATTTTATTCTATACTTGTGCAATGAGAAGTGTGGTCATGTTATTCAGTTTTTTGTGAAGTTTTGCTAGTCTATCTATTGTATAGTCAGAAATCAGAATGTTTACAGGAGGAGAGTTAGAGTTGTGCTGTAGATATCTACCAAGTCATACTTTTTTGAAAAAAAAAATTTCAATGAGTAAATAATCAATTTTGCCACTTGCTACCAATTTTTTTTTTTTTATTATTATTTTTTTTTTAAATTATCTTTGAAACCATTTAGGTCCCATTTCCTTCAAAGTCTTCATTTGAACTTATTAGAACTTATTTTTGTTATCATTTGAGCTTTGAGAACCTTTATCAAAATTTATTTTACCTGATTTTATCTTATTTGAACTAATTTCTCTTTAAATAAGTGAAGATAAGATGAACAAAAAAACACTCATTGCTAAAGTTAAATTAATTATGTTAAATTTAAATTACTTTTTTAAAATGACAAAAATTTAAATCGTGAACTTTTATTTGCCGGACTAGTATATATATGTATATATGGTCTTTATAATCTTAAACAACATTTTGTGATCCCAAGATGCATCTCTTAAATCATGACATTGTTCTTCGCATTTTTTAAAACTAGAGCTATATGCACGTGGTGCGTGTGTTGATGTAGTAAAGGCAGCGTATTTTGCAAAATTGATATTATGACTTTGATGTTTTTCCACACGCACTTGCTTTTACGCCTTTTGCGTCTTGTTTGCATTTCAAGCTTGTGTTTGAAGTTTAAAGCCCTCTCAATTATTTGTAATCTAATTTTATGAGGTCCTTGTTCAATATTTTATGAAAATTCTTGATTGCATAAAGGTTAATATTAATTTATACTACTATTATTAGTAGTACTTTATTTGATTTTATTTTATTTTTTTAATATGTTGAGTTTCCTTTTCAGACCTTTTTTTATTTTTGGAAGATTCTAAATTGTGGTTTAATTTAAGAACTAGCATTATTGTATAGAATATTATAATTTTATTATTATTTATTCCTTATTTATTTTTAAAAGATTTTAGGGACAATTTGGGGAGTTCAAAAGTCGGACGCCAACTTTTCACTCATCCTTCCCTTGATTTATATAATAAAGATGATCTATTTTATTATTGCCTATTTGCCTTTATTTCGATCTATTTGGTGGCCTATACCAATTACTTCACCAATAATATTTTTTTTTTTTGCACTACAAGCCTATTTTTTATGAGAGCTTTACGAGACATGGTAAAATATAATAAAAAAATAAAATAATAGTAGTGACAAGTAGTATACACAGCTCATAAGAAAATTCCTTAATATTGGAGCTCCCAAAATAAAAAAAATAAAGAAATCAACCTTGGAAAATAAAAAAATCCCAGAATTTCCAAAATTTCAACCAAATCAAACCAAACGACCCCGCGCAGATAATTGTCTGAGTCCACACTTATCCCCATTTCCCAGTGTTCCTCAAATCCTTCATCGTTAAGATTGAGGGCACTTGGAAAAAGCTTAATTCTTGAATATATTTTTCTGGGTATTTCATCAAAGTTATTAATCAAAAATATTGAAAAATGGGTCAAAAAATTTCAAAAGATGAACTGGTTTATCAGCAAGTGATTGAAGGCAATATTGATACCATTAAAGCTCTTTGCACTGAAGGAGCTCGACTCGAGGTATATCTCTTTATCAATATTATACTTGCAGTTATCTGGGTTGTAATTTTGATTTTGATTTTTGGTTAATAGAATAATAATTTAATTTAATTTAATTTTTTTGATGTTATGATCATAATTTTCTGGGTTTGATTTATAGTGGATTGATAAAGAAGGGAAAACTCCATTAATTGTGGCTTGTATGGATCCCAGACTTTATATTGTGGCCAAGACTTTGATTGAACTTGGTGCAAATGTTAATGCTTATCGCCCTGGTATGTTTTTTAATTGGACCCTTTATTTGTTTGCTATAAAGAATTGCTTTAGCTCTGCTAGAATCAGTTTATGGATGCAAAGATAGCTACATAGGGTGGGATTCGATCTCAGGTCTTGTGTGCCACTCTCGATACTTTAACCAATTAAGATACTTTAACCAACTAAGCTACTTGACATTTTATAATAGTGTTTTTTGCTCAACTTTGGTTATGGTACTCATTGGGTGTTCTTTTATGTATTGATTGATTCGTTCTAAAGTTTTAGCAGGTCTATAATCACAAAAATTGTTACTTGATTTGGCTGAACCACAGTAGGTTGTTTGTTGACCAATATAGATGTTTGGGAGTGGTTTGCTTGTTGACCAATAATGTACATAGATGTTTGGGAGTGGTTTGCTTATTGACCAATAGTATACATAGATGTTTGTGACTTGGGAGTGGTTTGATGTAACGCGACCCCCTAGCTTCCCCGTCATAATCCGATGGGAACTGTAGAATCTATGGAAGCATGTGATTGGTTTGGGAGTAAATTGATATATTATGAAGATTGAGTAAAAATATATAGAATTATGATTCCTTTGGTATAAAAAATTAGTCTCTTTTATAGTAATGATACTAATGCACACTGTTCTGGACTGTATACAAGTACTTCTGAATTATGTATTCATACAAGTGAGTTTACTATCAAATTTCAAAGAGAAAGTTGATTCAGTACATTAACATACGCAACTCAAAGTTTTGGAATAAAATTCTAAAATGGCACTCTATTTTAAGTTTTTTTAATAATTGCTAAATAGCAAGGACTATAGAGTGGTTGGTTACATCTTATATTATATATGCCGTGTAGAAGCATTGAAGTGTTCTCTTATGAATTTAGAATTTATTGCCAGAAATTCTCTCTCTTCATTGATCTTAATAATTTCCATTTGCATAATAGGGGTTCATGCGGGTACGCCTTTGCATCATGCTGCAAAGAGAGGCCTGGACCACACTGTTAAGTTGCTTCTCTTGCATGGAGGTGAATTTCATAGCTGTCACTGATTTTTCTAGATCATCCATCTGAGATAGTCATTATTTGAGACTTAAATTGAGTAAAGATTTTGGTTTGTCAGACATGTATGATAGGCTTTGTTGAATGAACTTGCAGCAAACCCTTTTGCGAGAAATGATGATTGTCAAACACCATTAGATGTAGCACGAACAAAGGGTTACTGCAATGTTGTCCGTGCAATTGAGGTTCTTTCTTTTTGCTCGATCTTCATGAATTATACGTTCATAATTTGAAAATATACAGCTAATATAAATTTTGTTTTATGCGCTGTTTTTCTCCTTGGAATTTTTCTCCCCTTCAGGCACATATATGCTACTTCTCTGGTGATATGCGTGAGATTCTGGTGGTGCCAGGCATCCTAGGTTCTTTGGTGCCGCATCGATTAGCAAGAAAAAGCTCAAAGTAATGCCTCTGTCATTGTTTGCACTTTGCATGTTTCATCTAGAGCTGTTGTCTCTATCTATTTTGTTGAAGGGGACTGGGAGTTGAATGTATTCTTCAATGTTTTTATAGTTCTCTTACCTTTTTGCCTTCTTTTCTAGGAAGAGTTGGGTGGTGGTTGTTCCTTGCAGTCTCCCCAATACAAGGGGGCCTCTAAAATTGGAGTTCGCTGTGTATTCTAGTGCACAGGTATGTAACTTTATGCCTTACTCTTCACCTTATTCTCATTTCTTATAACTTATTCTTGTTAATAACAAATCAAACCAGAACAAAAAAAAATTCCCGACTAGACCAGATTAGATCTTCTTAGTTCTGTTTGCTTATTGACATGTATCTTTAATTTCGTATTTTTAAAAAATTATGAAAATTATATACTTGAAAAATACACATTGAGACAAATCTAATAAGATCCCATTTGATAATGTTGTCTCTTATACATTGGCCTACTATTAAGATTAAAGTTTAGTCAAATTAGACAATCAGATCAGAAAAACTCAGACTAGAAGACTTTATTTCAGGTGAAGAGAACAAAGCCTAAATGTGACCTGAATTATTGTTTGGAACTATAGGTTTTGCTTCTGAAGATTATCATATTCAATTTTGTCCATCCGTTGGAACTCAAGAACTGTGATTGGGAGTTTACTCTTTAAACAAATATTTTACTACCTTTATGTGTGTGTGTGTGTGTACTGTTTCTATACATGTACATTGATTTTTGTATAGCATTCATCTTGTTACCTTATAAATGACCTATAATATCATCTAAAAAAGGTTTTAATGAGCAGGATCCCCAGCCTCGTACTGTAATTCCTCTTTGGAAGTCCAACATTGTGGAACCAAAGTTTCATGAGTCAGATCCCTCCTTGACAATCGTCAATGAGTCAACTGGTAAGCTCGTTACAATTAATTATTTTTTTCGCCGAACTCACTTCTTTTTGGCATGCCTGTTCTATGTTTGCCTGTGATAGCTGTATGTGGATTAATAATCTGATGAAGTTTTTGTATTGATTGTCACCCCTGTCCACTTTTTTTCTGGGTCTCTCTTACATAATTTCTCTTCCTGCGTTTTTCAGGGTCCCTTTATAAATTTTTATCTGCCATTGAGGGAGACAAGCAGCAACTTGGTCAGTTACACAGTGCTTGCAAAGGTTTACTTAAGGTATGTACTAAGTAATCTAATATTTATTTGGGATCAATTTATGCCTTGTGACTTTTGTGCTCTGGCATACCCTAAGTTTTTCTGCTTTGGTGACTTAATGACTTTTTGTTATAATATTGTTTGGATAACTTATAATCTTCTTGCAAACTTTGTATTGAAGATTAATATGATCAAATTTTTAGAGTCATAAATAGGCTTTGGAGATTTTTCATTTAACTTTTCCCCACTGCTTATACTGAAACCAACGTGTACCGACTAAAAAAGAGTAGAAAAGTTTGGCTTTTAATGATGAATGGAGCTGAATTTTATTCTTATCCCTTTGTTTCCATTGTCTTTGAAATAGCTTTTCATTCCCCTAAGCCCTTGCACTGAACTTTGAAACCACAAACCAAACTTCCTCTATACATTTTTTTCCAAAAAAAAAAAAAAAAAAAAAAGCTTCCTCAATACATAATTACCTCTTGCCACATCTCACCCCTTGGATTGGGGTATCACTGGAGCAGCTCCAGAAAATGGACCTGCTTGTCCTAGTTCTGAATCCTATGACTACCAAACTTAATGCCCTTGAGTCTTAGGGTGTTTGGCCTGTCATCTAGATTGTACTGCCATGGCCTCTGAATCTCTGATGGTCTCATTGAGCTTACATCAAATTGTTGTAAGTCTGAGATGATGTAGCCTATAGCTTGGGTGCTCAGAGTTTCTCCTTGGTTGAAGTTTCAGAGCATGCAGCCCACAATTCAAATAAATAGGATAAAGACAGTAGCTTGTGCATCAAAAAGTATTGATGCTCCAGGCTATAGATCAGACCCGATGGCTGAAGTCTATTGTCAGACTCATCAGAACTCCAGGCTGCTCATGAGTTGCCTGTAAATCCCAGCTGAGCAGTAGTTTACAGATCCAGAACCCATCGAAGAAAACAAACCTATGTATCTCAAATATCCAACATTGGTCGTTGTAGGACAGAATCTATCCTGTAGCCAGCCTAGAGGGCACCCTTTGGAATAGTACCAAAATCTATCTTCTGAATTGCAGTGCATGCTTTATTTCTCTTCAGTAGATTTTCTGCATCCTTAATTCTTGGGTTCTGACCACCTCTGAAATTGACTATCTAGGTTATGCCTTCCCCTCAGCTGTTCAGCGCTGGAAACTCTGCACAACCCGAAGTTAACACAAGAAATCAGCCAGAACTTTCAGCAGGCTCGAACTCTCAATCAAGTTCTGCTACAAATGGTTGGAGTGACCTTGATAGTAATGTTACTCATAGTGAGTGCGGCCAATCTAGTGTCCCACCTCCCACTAAGGCAAGCTGCAATGGATGGGCCAATGAACCTGCAGCACAAGAATTAAATGGATGGGCCGATGAACCCACAGCACAAGAATTAAATGGATGGGCTGATGCTAATTCAGGTCCATCCATGCCCCCAGTCAATCCTACAACTGTCGCCTCAGCACCTATCCCTTCAACTCCATCAGCTCCTCCCTTACCCATGGACGGTGGAGTTAATGTTGATGGGCCTATCCACTATCCAGCAATCGATATGGACCCTGTTGACTTGTCTGCTACCAGTAGCGAAGCAAATGGTAAAACAGAAGAGCCTTGTTGCGTGATATGTTGGGAAGCCCCAGTTGAGGGGGCTTGCATTCCTTGTGGTCATATGGCTGGTTGTATGTCTTGCTTGTCAGAAATCAAATCCAAGAAAGGGCTTTGTCCGGTTTGCCGAACCAAGATTGACCAGGTTATCAGGCTATATGCTGTTTGAAAGGGGCTTGACCTTAATATTTTATTTTTTTTTTGGCCAGATTGTGCAATTTGTATTTTATACTTGTGCAATGAGGTGCATAAAGTTATGCTAGTCTGTCTATTGTATAGTCAGAAATCAGAATGTTTACAAACAGAGAGTGTTATAGATGTGCTGTAGATATCTACAAAGTCATATACTTTGGAAAATTTAAAATTTGTTAATTAGTACCTTTTATGTAATCAATTTTGCCACTTACCACCTTTCCAGTTTCATTTTTTATTTTTTGGGTTTCTGAAAATTATTCTCTCAGAAACCATTTACATTTATTACCTTTAACTGGTTTTAAGTGATGTAGGTTAGTAGGAATTATTGCTTAATATATGTGATTGCATTGATTAAACCCCTAATTGTCCATATCATAAAATTTGAAACCTTGCTTGTCAAATCAAGGCTTGATCTCAACCTGTACAAGCTAATTTCAATATTAAATGGAAAACTAATATTTTTTTCAGAAATTAATTTAATACTAGTATATATTTATAACATTAAATATTAATTTCAATTAAATTTGTTGATTAACTTATTATTAGATATGTTTGTGTTTACTAATTGTCCATTTTGGCGTAACTTATTTTGTTTTCTAATCGAAAAAGGTTCCGCTTTTTTCACTAAATTTTCTCTTTCCTTATACTTTGTATTTTTGATTTTGTTACTATAGTACACGTAATTTGGAATGAAAAAAAAGTACATGAATTAAATGTCACACTATTATTACGAAGTATTATTATTTGATAAAAAGGTTTCATGTTATTTTTTATTTTAGTGATAAACTGATATAATATGTAGAAGTAGGACGTTGCGCCAAAAAAATATATTTGAAAGTAGCAATCTCTTTACTTTTTATTTTTTTGAATAGTTAGGAATCTCTTTCTTGGTTAAATCTTTCAACGCTTAACATTTGATATTGTACAAAAACGCAAGTTCCTCAATCTTAAAATTTAAGTTTTGCGCAAACAAGGCACCAAGCAAACACCGAGGCACCAAGCAAGTTCATACCTAAACACTACTAATTCTTGTTTTTATTATTATTAAAGAATAGCTGTTATACATGTAACTTCTAGATATTATAATTTGGTTGACATTTCAAATTTTGGTGTATCCTTGACCTTGAAATTATGAATTTTCCTACACATACATAGTGACATAGACCTCGATACCTCACACGAAAAATACTAAGATTATTATCCGTAAACCATCATCAAATTCATCCGTTTACTTTTACTAATGGAATAATGGTCTAACTCCCTTTGTTTTGTAGGTGTTATACTAATCTATTGCGGTCTTTTTTTTTTAAGTGTTACACTTTTTTTTTAGCAAACAACTACAATACTTTTTAATATTATAATATTTATCTCCTCTCAAGGTCCTCGTCCATACCAAAACCTTTTTTTTTTATATTATTTTTTTTCTCATGTATCATTTACTTTTCAATAAATTATTACCCCCATTATAAATATAGTTAAAAATAAATTTCGATGAGAGAAAATTTATATAATTATACCGTAATACACCTTATGATGGAACATAAAACATTATGGAACCTTCGCAGAATTTTAAATCACAAAGAATGCAGTTCTATGCAATTGCACTAGTCCAAATTCCCAACATGACAACATTAGAAAATGAAGTATTATAAACTTTCATTTTCAAAGCCATATTTCTTTCCTACCCAAAATATTATTTTCATAAATAAAATAAAGCTTGAATTGTCAACCTTATGACTAAAAAAACCCGCCTGTTTCTCAATCTCTAATATTTTTCTGACTCTTGCTTTATTCAATACAATCACTTTGTCTTTACCTGCGAATTATTCTCTGCTTTCATACCTTAACTAGTTAACTCTATTACTTCTCCTACATTATTAATATTCTTACACCCCAATTTTTAAAGGATTTCTCTTAAGGTTTTCCCCTTTTTATGTAAATTTTTATTGTTCTTAGTTAATTTTTTCCTTTTTCTTCTTTGGATTTTTGTTATTAATTTTGTTTTTTTTTTTTGAGAGAAGTAAAAATGGGACAAAAACCATCAAGAGATAAACTGTTGTACGATTATGTTATTAATGGAGATGTTGGTGGTATTCAATTTCTCTCTAAACAAGGCGCGGGTCTAGAGGTAATTTATCTACTGTAACTTATTTTCCGTGTACAATAACATATCGTTTTAATTAGGTATACGATGAGCACTGTGCACGGTGCATACGTGGACCATCTATATCACACAAATTACTAAAGTACTGGTGTAGTAAGTTGTGTTATGCATATAATTGTTACTTGTATTTTGATAGGACGACTTATATTATCAAGTGTGATCGCGTGGAATCTATGTTACCTGTAGCCTATTTTAATGTAACATAAAATTATTGCTGATTTTTCTTTTGGGTATAGTTGTAGCTAATATTATGATAATAAGATGCTTGTGAGTTGATGATTTTTTTAAATTTTTTTTTTTTTTTTTTTTTTTGTTGGTGATTTTGATAGTGGAAAAAAGAAGGGAAAACTCCTCTTATTGTAGCAGCCAAGGATCCTGGTCTGTATGATATTGCCAAAACTCTCATTGAATTGGGTGCTAATGTTAATGCTTATTGTAAAGGTAAATTTTCTTATGTTTTTTTCAAGTTCATATTTTTAAGGGTTTTACTCAACTGATAAAAATGATTTTCCAATGTCTAAAAAATATGATCATCCTAATTTAGACCTTGTTTACAAGATTTTGATGGTCAAGAAAGTTACTTTAAACCCGGGATTGTTTTCCATCATATACAGAGAGTCATGGAGGAACACCACTACATTATGCAGCAAAGGAAGGACTTGATAACACTGTTGCATTACTTCTTACACATGGAGGTATGTCTATCTTTAGAAGTACTTCGAAATGTACTACTGAGTACAGGATATGTCAAACTAGTCAGTCGAGTTGGGTTTAGGTTCATCAGCCTATTTCTTTATCCGGGGTTTGAAGTATTTTTGTACCGATTTTAGTGTACTTTTGAGATTTCAAACCAGCCTTGGTTGACAGTCGATCAGTAACGCTAGTTTTTGACATTCGATCAGTACTGATGGTTTTTGACAGTCCATCAGTACTGTTAGTTTTTGACAGTCCATCATACTGATAGATTATAACAACAGATTAATGCTCTTGTATGAATGTACAGCCAATGCTTTTGTCAAGAATCGAGAGCGTCAGACTCCACTGGATGTTGCTAGGAAGAATGGTCGTAATCTTGTTGTTAAAGAGATTGAGGTTTGATTTGCTTAAATTTCATCTTGTTCTTGCTACAATACTGTCATAGTTAAGCTGTGTTAATTAATACTTTTTGTTCCTCAATGTTCTTAATTTTTTCTTTTCCCTTTCTAGAGCCGTATTTGCTATTTTGCTGGTCCAATACGCGAAACTTTGGGCCCAGGATTGTCTGATGTACCAGCTCCACAATCATCTTCAACAAGAATAAGGTCAGTAATTTTACTTGCCTGATTTTTTGTGTACTAACATTCTTTTTTCGCGTGCTCTGCTCAAATGTGAGTTTTACATCAAACTATATCTTGTTCTTGTGCAGTTGGGTTGTTGTAGTACCTCGCAGTCCTCATAATCCTCCAAAACCTCCGAGAATAGAGCTTGTTATCTACTCAACTGCTGAAGTATGTTTTTTCTTTAAATGTTCAACTACTAGTATCACTCAAATTTAATAGTAACTATATATGTCAAAGAAGGCAGGTTTGGGTCTGTCAGTCTGTATTTTGAGGTTAAAGTGCATTTTTGAATCATTGTTTAGTGATCTTTCAATATGTTCACTCAGGTTGGGTCAGGTTGAGTTTCGGGTTGAGGTGCAAATATGCAATTTCGAGATATAATTATCATGTACAGTGAGGTTCGGGTAGCTTAATTTTCAGGTCTGAAATGTACTTCGGTTCTATGTTGAGCTGTAATTGGCAAATTGGCTAAGCTTTGGGTTGGTCAATTTAGTTTTGATCACATTTTCTCGGTTGGATTCATCTTGGGTTAGTTTTGTTAAAACATTTGCTTGTTGGTGGAATTAGACTGCATTGTTCCCACATTTATGCTAAATATTGCCTTATATGCATTGGTTTTACAGAAATGGATCGAGTTTAATACTTTCAGTTATCAGCGCTGTAATCTGCTTGCGCCATTCAATTGTTGCAATTTTAACATATTAGTGTCTCTTCTTAATCTGTTGAGCAGGATGCTGAGCCACGTAAAATTATCTCTCTTAGTCGGTTTAGTATAAAAGCACCAAGATTCGATCAACCAAGTCCTTCTCTGATAATTTTCAACAAACAGACCAGTGAGTTCGTACATGTTCATCTTTTGACTACCCTGCCCTTATTTTCTGTTTAGCTTGATATATCATGAGTTTAAATTGAGGTGAAGAAGCTATTGGAAAGAAAGTATACTGATCTTTGTTTTCTTGTTCAGAATATAAATTCTCATCAGTTACCTACAGCGACAGGCAGCAGCTTCGACGATTGTACAATGCTTGTAAAGGAATCTCTCAGGTATTACTTGGACTGACATGATTTGTGATATATATCTAGCTATAATACTGACAACCCTCTGTATGAATTGAGCTCAGTTGCTTAGGCGAAACTTGTGTGCTGACATTCAATCATCTCATGAACTCTTTTCAACTAGATTTTGCTTATTTTAGCTTACTTAAGCAAAATTAAGTGCAAAGGATTGAAAACTTTACAAGATTTCTAATTTACCAAAACACACAAGCTTCAACATGAACTTAAGCTTCATTTTCCAAATGACATGTATGCAGGTTATGCCAGCCTCAGCTCAGATGATGATCTCCGATGCTATTGGTTCACGGATGCATACAGCTTCCCAAATCAGTAGTCCTGCATGGAGAACACCCAGTAATTTATCGCCTCCCATGACACCACACAACAACGTTTGGGTGCACGAATCACATAGATCACTATGGTGGCAACCACTGGGGTGTACACAACTGAATCCTGTACCCTTGCAGACACCTGACAGATTCTTCCAGACACCTGATAGATTCCCTGCAGTGGCAGTAGCTTCTCCTCCGATCCCCTCAGCTCCCCCGATCAATAAAACTTTTACTAGTGTCGATGAAGTTTCCAATCCAGCTGCTGAATCTGCAGGACAAAAACCTGTTGTTACTGAATCGACAGTGTGTGTAGTATGCTGGGAAGCTCCAGTTGAGGGAGCGTGTGTCCCATGTGGGCACGTGTCTACGTGTATGTCTTGCTTGAAGAAGATTAAGGACGATGATGGAGGTTGTCCCGTTTGCAGAGCTGAGATTGATCAGGTTGTAAAACTCTATGGTATCTAAAGTTAAATGAGAGATATATAGAAAAGGAGGTAGGATTTTGTACATAAGACTGAGTGGATCATTGGTGATTCTTATTTTTTTTTTTTTTTGGGGGGGGGGGGGGGTGTTCTCTCCTGGTGATCTTGTTATCTCAAATTATGCAATAAAACGTAACAAAATATTGCTGGTCCTATATATAATTTATAACATGTAGATACCAACTAACATAATTAGTTAAAGTCTTAGGGGGTGATATCCAAGATCTGAAATCGAATCTCGTCTACATCATTGTCTTTATGATTCTCTCAACACCGCGGATATATTGATAAATACCATAATGTCCGTAAGGGATTAGATCAATATATCATCATCACAAGTACATACAAGTATATTGCATTTAGGATTCAAGAGCATACAATGCTAGAGAATTTTTTTTTATTAAATTACTATGCTCTTAACAGCTTGGTGAAATTGTTAAATTCCTTATAATAATTCAGCATATTCTTGATTGCGGAGTTGCTGTTAATGCCTGGCTACAGTTTGTGCCCTGTGGTTGAGGCTACATACCAGAAACAGCAATGTTTTTTCTGAATATTATATACTTGGAAGGGTCGTATAGATTACTAATAATTTACGAAAAAGAGTAGTTTTTCTAAACACCAGATGGTCCAAATCTAACAACATTTATGGGTTGAATTAAGTAAACAGCTAACAATAATGAACAACTCAACATTACATAATACAGAGTACATATACAAGTATATTCGATATAGCATTCACTTGTCTCTTCATCTTCCCTAATCACTTCAACTGGTTAATCTTTCACTTCAAATGAGAAACAAAGAACTCTTCACAAACAACAAATAAATTAAAAAGAAGACATGCAATTCAGAAGAAAGGGCCATAGAAATAGATTATAAGATTATCAGACCCACAGCTGCTTTGTGGCCTCCATTCTTTCAACTAAACTGCTAATTTCAGCTTGCATTCGAATCTTCATCTTGTAGTAATCAGAGTGAGTATTCTCAAGAATTCTTAGCTCCTCTAATCTCTTTCTTCTCCTTTCTTCAACCTCTTGCAAGCACAACTTTGCAAGCTTCTCACTATACTCTTCATCCAGCTTCACAGTTTTTGTCTCTACCATTTGACGATATGTATCCACCTCTTTTCTTGCTTCATCTGCTCGATTCTGGAACATCCTGGCTTCTGTTTCCTTCAAGCGGATAATACTTTCCATGCTGTCAAATCCATCCTTGTTTGACAATTTCCCAGACCACTCGATAGCTAGTTGTCGCTCACTTGATAAATTTGGCTTGGGACTGCTTTGATGGAAATCATAAGAACGCAAACCTTGCAGCATGGTAGCAGAGTTAATGAAGCTAGACTTTTGAGCCAAATTGGAGGATGGAGAAGGGACCACATCATCTCGACGACGCCCTTGACTGGCTGTAAGTTCGTTTGCCCCAATACCGGTAGCAGCAAAATCTGCTGTGTCCTCCTTGTCTGTGACAAAAGAAATCCATGAACATTTAAGTAACCAGTTGGACAATAATCATCGAGTAGACAAGTTTCATATTAGCTTGCATAGATTTGATCAAAAGCAGTTAACAATGTAACCTCTGTCAAGCACAGAAGTTATGATGAATTCAAACCTTTAGCTAGTGGTACAGGGCCAAGAGCCACCCATCAGAAAAAGTATGCTGGCAACGTTTTGTTGGTTTTTCCAAGAAGAGAATAAACTTTTATACAACATCAATTATTCAATCCCTAGTTATAATATTACATTTACCAGAAGTCAGACATCATCAACGTTGGCAAAGAATGGTCCTAAACACAAAATAACAGTGATATAATCGGAAGGTTGATTTACTCTCTCAATGAAACTATATCCATAAAATCCCATGAAGATTCTTATAAAACAAAAAAAAAATAAAAAAAAAATAAAAAAAAAATAAAAAAAATCATAGAAAAACCATCAGTATTTCACAAATTGTGCATACATAGATGAACCTCGACTCTTAAATAAATGAGTTTTTAAATTCCTGCCAACAATTGTACAAATCTAATATAACAAGACTAATGGAGCCTCTCCCAGTTTAAAACACCCTCCTCATCCCTTATTAAAGCCTCTCTAGATAATCAAATTGCTTGGCAGCGATAGCCATCTTTGCTTACCAGCGATAAATCATCCTATTTTAGTGATTTGTTTTTTCTATTCTATTTTACACATACAAAAAAAAATTAACAGAGACCACATTAAACATTGATCCATTTCTATCACAAATCCCCAAATCCAAAACAATGGATCCCATATCCAAACCATTGCTCACAGCCTCACATGACAGTGGAAAATAACTTTCAGCTATCTACTGCAAGTAAAATAGCCTATAGAAAATTACTATTCCCAGCACTTGGTAGACAGGAGACTAACAAGTACGCCATCTTAAATACAAATTGAGAATGGGACAAGCAGAAGACATTGATGAAAAACAAAGGGTAAAAATAATAAAACAAATTAGTTTTTAAACAGAAATTTGTTAGGACTTTTACCAGACTTGGTTTTGAAGAAGTGAATAATGACATGGCAGGCATCTGACGGAGATATCGCCCTTCTTTCAAGCCTTGTGAGCAATTCAGCAGCTTTAAGATATAGCTCTTTGCCTTTTAGATCCTCACTTCCTTTAAAGATTCTTCTAACACAATCAAGCTCCTTAATCAGTGTTTGTATACCCCAATCTTTTGCACAAAAGATAAACACATCTTTGACAAATCCAAACATTTCGGAAGCATGACCACACCCGAGACAATAGAACTGCATCTCAGTTTTGCCGGAGGATCCCTTCAAGCTAGGGCCAGGTCTTATTAAATTATTCTCAGCACCACAGGCAGCATGACACCAATGAGAGCAAGCGTCGCATCCAACCCAACTACAGGTATTGTTGGCACAATCATAGTTATAACAAACAGAACACATACACTGGCTGCAAAATCCCTTCTTTGTCGAGCAAATCTTACAGTCACAGTCATCCACAGGCAGCGAGGATTTACAGTTTACATTTCTACATCTCTGGAAGAAGAAAATTTCAGCCAATTCACTGGTTGGGAGACGTGCTTTCCCTGAAACAAATTCATTAAGCCCAAATTTTACTGCAACCAGAATCTCCGATTGTAGCCTATCAGACTTAGAAAGAGTCTCCATTGTAAGGTCTGACCTTTTTTCGAGCAAATTTTGCAGATAAACTAACTCATCTTTTTTCTCAGGTGATGCCATTAGACAGTTCAAGTACTCCTTAGCTGATTCAATAGCTTCAGCAGGAAGCTCACGAGATAATTGTGACATAACAGTGGTATGTTCCGTAATGACATCACGAACAATCCTTTCTCCTCTGGAAAGCTTGTGTCCTCTCATATCCTCCAAATTATTCAGCCCCTGGTCCATTGATTTACTCATGGAGTCAACGGCGCACAAATCAGTTCTTGGCTTGGCAGGCAATTCTGAGGGGAAAAAAGAACTAGTATCTGAGGCAGCCGCCCTATACAGACTGTTACCTGGATCCCTATTTAAAGTACGGGATCTGTTCAACAAAGTATAAGCTACACCACTACCATGATTTGATAAAGAGACCCCATCTCCAATTGGCTTAAAACGACTATGAACAGAACCATTGGTTCCTTCACCACAATTCCAAATTTGATCAGTCTCCCTCCTACAACTACCAACCGAATTCTCATAATATTCAGTAGAATTGTGAGTTAACGAGCAGCTAGGGTTATGTGAAAATGGGTGAGAGTAAGAGTATGATAACGAAGCAGCTGTAAAATCATCAGAGCATGTTACTTGGGTGTTGTTATTGTTATTATTATTTGAAAGTGTCAAAGACGGTACACTCCTACACGGCATAGGACGCACAGCAGCATCACAATTTGGTGGTGCAGCATTTGATGCAGAAAGTGAAAGGGAAACATTAGGCAGAGCTAGAGACAGGTCAAGTGTCTGTGTCTCAAGCTTAGGCTTCTTCCAGCCATCTCCCTTTCTCCTGCCATCCTCCTGAGCTTCTCGTTTTGACGTACCGCCATCACTGTTGCTCAACTGTAGAAAATCCCTCTCCACCCATTTTTCCTCCTGGTTTGAATTCTCCTCCTGAGCAAGGGCAGGAGGGCAGCCACTGGGCCCAGGGAGAAAAGGACCATTTTCATGGTTTTGTTCTGACATTAAAGGGTTATATTATAAACCAAAGCCTGCAACACATTAGCAATTAAGAAGAATCAAATGTCAAAGTAGAATCGAAGAATTATGTTAAAGTCACCTTACTTAAGGATCTGAACAGCAAAATATAGCAACAAGATCGCTCGTTTTAATCTTTCATAATTTCAGTACATATAACCTATAGTTCAATAATCCACCTCGGGGAGAACCCTAAATTGACTATAAACTCTATATTGACATGTAAATAAACAATAAACATTAGATTGTGAACTTGATATTCGATGATTATCAAAAGAAAAGGAAAAAAAAAGTCTCAGTAGCTGTTCAATTGAGGAAATGAGGAGAGAAAGCTCACAAGCCGCTTCAAAGGAAAATTCAGAGTACACTTCACTGGAAAAATTAAACATAAATGTGATAAATTGAAAACAATAACAAAATTGATTGCTAAAAGAAAAGAGATTCTTCAAGGCAAACATAAAAACAATAACTAATGACGTCATAAATTATGGCAATAACAATATGAAGGGAATCATATTGAATAGACAACTAAGACATGCATTTCAAATTATCAATGCATAAATGGAGGTATTATCAATTATTCTACTTTTGAATTAGTGTATAATTCGATTATCATTATGAATTTAAGTTCCAGGACACCGACACCACTCAAACCCCTGTGCATCAACAACACTCTCATGAGCACACACAGCACACTGCAGACATCATCAACAGCAATAGCAGCCCCAACATTGAGGTAGCTTTGAACTTGCTGCACTTACATAGCCACACGCACACCCACTTAAACAATCCCTCACATGCACAAACTTCGACACCAAACTGCTAGTAAATCTAGCAGCATGAACCAAGAAACAAAGAAAACCAAACAAGGTCCCAACTCCACCTATATACCATGCTCATTAATACAATCAGAACACAAGCAGTCAAGAAGATGATGGTGACGGTATCAAAACACCAGACATGGTAAGATGAAATTTAAACATCAAAATAATATCATTGCCATATACTTGATCACTTTAATTAGGAAGCTACTCAAATAATCAGAAGGATATGCAAGTAACATATTAAGAACCCTAAACAGTACACTATTATTCATGAAATCATATAACACGTATTTTATAATAATCTTCTTACCAGAAAGATATATATCAAATCAATCTAAAATTAGGGAAAACTTCTAGTTACGTCGTCCAAACAGAGGAATGCAAAACTATTAGAGACTTAGGGCTATTCACTGGAGTAAGGACTGGAAAAAATACAAAGACTATTCCTAACATATTGAAGTAAAATGTAAACATCCTAGAGTTTATAAATAATACTTCCTCCGTTTTTTTTAATTGCACCATTTGAGTAGAGCACAAAATTAAACAAAGGTATAAAATAGATGATTAAATAAATAACCATCTGACCACAAACAAAGGAGAAAAAGTAAAAGTGAGGTAACAAAGGTAAATATCAAATGTGAGTAGCAGAGGAGGACCTTCCACCAGGGCTATTTGGGGAAATTATTATGATTACTTAGTTAATGAAGATAAATAACCTTATTTTACCTATAAAATATTAGGACATAGCGATTAGTTTTGAATGAGAGGTAAAAGATTCAAATTCCAGCCCCTCTAATATTGTTGGCCAAGATTCGCCACTATGAGTAAGGGTAAGATAGGTATTTGGTGTGCAAACACAAACAAAAAGTTATGAAAGTATACCCATTATAAAAATGGTGCAATTGATATGCAACTCCCCTAAAAAGAAAATGGTGCAGTTAACAAAAAAAACGGAGGAAATATTAAACAAAATGTTGGTCCTGTCCAAGACCGGTTGACTAAGGTTGGTTAATCGGTTTTTTAACTCCCTTAACCGAGTCCAAGTAACATAGCCCTTAACTACTCATTTTTAGAAGTGCAATTGTACTCCTCATTTTCATTTACTCCCTTGCTTGGAAATCTAGCCGACCAATAAAAATCCAAGTAAGAGGAAGCTCTAAGCTTAAAAGCATTACTTGCTTTAAAAGAAGAATGTTGCGTAGTCTCAGCCAGTCAACCAACTAAAATAACAAAATGGAGAAATTGGAGATAGACTTCATTCTTATTCTCAGAAAATAACATTCAAAGAGGTGAACTAGTCAATATTGAAAAGATATAATGAAGTCATCCAAATCCCTTCCAATCATACACCGGTAACATTTGTGACGTTAAAGAGGATAACATATATAATAGTTGAAAAAAAGATCAATCAAAGAAGGTGGAACTCTTGATATAAGCTATTCTTGAAATATCAAAAGGACAAAATTCCTCATATACTTCACCGCCCAGTCCCCCACTCACAAGTCAAAAGATATGCAAATGAGCAAAGCACCCAACCCAAATCTTAGGCAAACTATAGAGGAACTTCAATCCACTGCAATAATTTCACTATATTTCTCCCAATTCCCAACCAAAGAGAGCCCAAATTTATATTAGGATTATTAGTTAATCTTCAAATGCATTCACCCGGTATCTCACAGCTTAACCAAGATGAGCTACAACATTTATACGAACTTCAATTTCCAAAAAGGTGATGCTAATAATTTGATATACAACAACCTGGAAATGCACAGTAATAAGTCAAGATTCCCAAAACACCCATGTGGTAGGCTTTTAGTTGTGAACTAAGTATCTCTATATGAAGAATAATCTAATGCTGACCCTTGAAAAAGACGAATTTCTATATTCTGTCATTAATAGCAGAGAATGGATTAAGATATAGTTGGCTAATGCCATTTCAAGCTTAAATCAATGGCACCTCAATTAATTAGTGAGACAAAGAAAAGTCCCTAATCAACTTAACAAACAAATATACTATGATAATTCGTTAAATGAATCAACTTTGTGTAAAACCCCTAATTGAAAGAAATCAACTTTATTTAATACCCAATTCGTTAATGGATAACCTAGTTCAACAAACACATCAAGTGATCCTCAAACTAGAATTATATTAGAAATTAGAACCCTAAACCCAGAACCCAATTCAATTAAATAAACCCACAATCATATAAATCAATCAACAAGATAGACCTAAGATAAGAAGTAACAATGAGTTTACTAAATCAAAAAACTTAATAATTCAACTTCCATAAATCCTAAATCCAAACCCCAAGCAATATCACATCATCTAATCAAAAATAAATAAATAAATAAATAAATAAAAATAACAAATCACTAAATCAGAATAACTTACGTTAATGACATGAAATCAAGAGAGCTGAAATCTCGAGATACAACAAAACCCTGCTGCTCAAAAACGCGGGTCAGCGGAGAGAGAAAGAGCAGTAACCAAAATCAACGCAGGCCATTTTCAATTTTCAAGAGTTAATTTTGTTTTTTCTTTTTTTTTTTTTGGTAACGTTAATGTTGTCTGAAAAGGATTGACAATAATAGCGACAGTACTGAGTACTCCGTAGTAATTTGTGTACATGTCATCATTTTTCAATTAATATCAATTGGTTGTTGGTGTAGTGGTGATTGAGGCTGTACTTGGTAGGAAGGACCGCATGTCCGATCCCCGCAACAACAATTGAGAGGGGACTGGAACTTAACCACTCAGAACCGATCCCCGAATCTGGATTAGCCCAAAGGGTGAACCGGGTAGAACACCAAAAAAGAAATCATTTTTCAATTAATTAATAAATGTATAAATATGTAAGAAAATATAAATTGCAGTCATCCTCTAAGATATTATGTGTAAAACTGTGAAACACCTTAAAGGGAAGAGAAACGTTAGTCACTCTAATTATAACATAATTAACGAATGATGTGTAGTAAATCTTATAGGCATTTCAAAATTAGTAATTAAAAGGGATAATTCGTATGTGCATAAATTTATCTCTACCTTTTAACTCATCTACATATGGTCTTTGTGGCTCTCTCAATACCATATATAAAATCATCATCGTTCATCACAATTACATATCAAGCTAAGCTTGATCTAGTGGTAAATATTGTACCTTCCAATCTAGAGGTTGTAATACATACAAGTACTACGTATATTACAGTTAGGAATGCAAGAGTATATAATGCTAAATAAAATGAATTATGTTCATAACAGCTTGGTGAAATTGTTATATTGCTTATAATTCAGCAAATTCTTGATTACAAAGTTGCTGTTAATGCTTGGCTACATTTTATGCCTGTGGTTGAGGTTACATACCAGAAACAGCAATGATTTTTATGACAGATAAAACTTGCAAGGGTCATATATTAATACTAGTACTAGTGATTAAACTTATGACAGATTCTTTACTTGCAAGGGTCATATAATTATTAATATAGTACTAGTAATTAAACTTAGAAACCATAAAAGAAAAACATTACAAGTAATCTTCAGTAGTTATGTTTCTAAACACCAGATGGTCCAAATCTAAGAACATCTATTTAGTGAACTGCTAACAATGATCAACAACTCAACACTACATAATACAGAGCACATATACAAGTATATTTGAAATAGCATTCACTTGTCTCTTCACCTTTCCCAATCACACTTCAACTGGTTAATCGTTCACTTCGAAACAGTCGAGAAACAAATGACTGTCTTCACTAACAATAAATAAAGAAAAAAATTGCTAATCAGAGTTATCACCCTTAAATGCAACCATCGCCATTACTTAAATGTGTCAAGAAAGCGCCATAGAAATAGATTATAAGATTATTAGACCCACAGCTGCTTTGTGGCCTCCATTCTTTCAACTAAAACGCTAATTTCAGCTTGCATTCGAATCTTCATCTTGTAGTAATCAGAGTGTGTATTCTCAAGAATTCTTAGCTCCTCTAATCTCTTTCTTCTCCTTTCTTCAGCCTCTTGCAAGCACAACTTTGAAAGCTTCTCACTATACTCTACATCCAGCTTCTCGGTTTTTGTCTCTACCAATTGACGATATGTATTCACCTCTTTTCTTGCTTCATCTGCTCGATTCTGGAACATCCTGGCTTCTGTTTCCTTCAAGCGGATGATACTTTCCAAGCTGTCAAATCCATCTTTGTTCGACAATTTCCCAGACAACTCGATAGCCAGTTGTCGCTCACTGGATAAATTCGGCTTGGGACTGCTTTGATGGAAATCATAAGAACGCAAACCTTGCAGCATGGTAGCACAGTTAATGAAGCTAGACTTTTGAGCCAAATAGGCCGATGAAGAAGGGAACACGTCATCTAGACGACGCCCTTGACTAGCTGTAAGTTCGTTTGCCCCAACACCAGTAGCAGCAAAATCTGCTGCGTCGTCCTTGTCTGTGACAAAAGAAATCCATGAGCATTTAAGTAACCAGTTGGACAAAAATTATCAACGAGTAGACAAGTTTCATAATCAACATATAGACAAGTTTCATAATCAATATATAGACAAGTTTCATATTAGTTTCAATCAGCAAACAATGTTGCCTCTGTCAAGCACAGACGTTATGATGAATTCAATCTTTTAGCTAGTGGTACAGGGCCAAGAGACACCCATCAGACAAAGTATGCTGGCAATCTTTTGTTCATAATTGCCAACAAGTCAATAAACTTTTGTACATCAATTATCATACAAGCCCTATGTTATAATATAACATTTAGCAGAAGTCAGATATCATCAATGTTGGCAAAGAATAGTACTGAACACAAAATAACAGTATTATAATCAGAAGGTCGATTAACTATATCCATAAAATCCCATGAAAAATCTTATAAAAAGATTTAATTAAATAAAATAAATAAATTAAAAAAGAAAACCTAAGAAGATCATCCGCATTTCACAAATTGTGTACGACTAATGGAACCCTCTCCCAATATAAAACACACTTTTCACCAACTTGCTTGGCAATGATAGTCATCTTTCTCTCTTATGACTACATTACTTTCTCAAAATGGATTATCTTCTTACCAACGAACATGAAATCGGTAGTCCCTTGTACATACACCCCAACACAGACTACAGTGGTCTCATACATCCTACTAACCATACTTTAGAAGTTTCCAACCATATTGGCATATAGATAGGATTTCCAGCCCAAAAACCAAAACCAGTCCATATAATGATGTCTACACTCTACATAGGTTGTTCTGTCAGTTTTGTAGCCCTATGCCATGTAATAGTGCAAAGTGCTTTGCTTACCGGCGACAAACCATCCTATTTACTTATTTAGTGATGAATTTCTCTTCTAATTATACACATACACAAACCAATTAATAGAGACCAAAGGATTTCCATATCCAAAACATTGCTCACATGCCAGTGGAAAATAACTTTAAGCTATTTAAGTAAGTAAAATAGCACAAATAACTATTCCTAGCACTTGGTAGGCAGGAGACTAACAAGTATGCCATCTTAAATACAAATTGAGAATGGGACAAGCAGAAGACATTGATGAAAACAAAGGGTAAACAAAACAAAACAAATTAGTATATAAACAGAAATTTGTTAGGACTTGTACCAGACTTGGTAGTGAAGAAGTGAATAATGACTTGACAGGCATCTGACGGAGATATAGCCCTTCTTTCAAGCCTTGTGAGCAATTCAGCAGCTTTAAGATATAGCTCTTTGCCTTTTAGATCCTCACTTCCTTTAAAGATTCTTCTAACACAATCAAGCTCCTTAATCAGTGTTTGTATACCCCAATCTTTTGCACAAAAGATAAACACATCTTTGACAAATCCAAACATTTCTGAAGCATGACCACATCCAAGACAATAGAACTGCATCTCAGTTTTGCCAGAGGACCCCTTCAAGCTAGGGCCAGGTCTTATTAGATTATTCTCAGCACCACAGGCAGCATGACACCAATGAGAGCAAGCGTCGCATCCAACCCAACTACAGGTATTGTTGGCACAATCATAGTTATGACAAACAGAACACATACACTGGCTGCAAAATCCCTTCTTTGTCGAGCAAATCTTACAGTCACAGTCATCCACAGGCAGCGAGGATTTACAGTTTATATTTCTACATCTCTGGAAGAAGAAAATTTCAGCCAATTCACTGGTTGGGAGACGTGCTTTCCCTGAAACAAATTCATTAAGCCCAAATTTTACTGCAACCAGAATCTCCAATTGTAGCTTGTCAGACTTAGAAAGAGTCTCCATTGTAAGGTCTGACCTTTTTTCGAGCAAATTTTGCAGATAAACTAACTCATCTTTTTTCTCAGGTGATGCCATTAGACAGTTCAAGTACTCCTTAGCTGATTCAATAGCTTCAGCAGGAAGCTCACGAGATAATTGTGACATAACAGTGGTATGTTCCGTAATGACATCACGAACAATCCTTTCTCCTCTGGAAAGCTTGTGTCCTCTCATATCCTCCAAATTATTCAGCCCCTGGTCCATTGATTTACTCATGGAGTCAACGGAGCACAAATCAGTTCTTGGCTTGGCAGGCAATTCTGAGGGGAAAAAAGAACTAGTATCTGAGGCAGCCGCCCTATACAGACTGTTACCTGGATCCCTATTTAAAGTACGGGATCTGTTCAACAAAGTATAAGCTACACCACTACCATGATTTGATAAAGAGACCCCATCTCCAATTGGCTTAAAACGACTATGAACAGATCCATTGGTTCCTTCACCACAATTCCAATCCCTCCTACGACTACCAACCGAATTCTCATAATATTCAGTAGAATTCTGAGTTAACGAGCAACTAGGGTTATGTGAAAATGGGTGAGAGTAAGAGTACGATAACGAAGCAGCTGTAAAATCATCAGAGCATGTTACTTGAGTATTATGATTGTTATTGTTATTGTTATTATTATTATTACTATTGTTATTATTATTTGAAAGTGCCAAAGACTGCACACTCCTACATGGCGTAGGACGCACAACAGCATCACAAATTGGTGGTGCGGCATTTGATACAGAGAGCGAAAGAGAAACATCAGGCAGAGCTAGAGACAGGTCAAGTGTCTGTGTCTCAAGCTTAGGCTTCTTCCAGCCATCTCCCTCTCTCTTCACATCCTCCTGAGCTTCTCGTTTTGAAGTACCACCATCACTGTTGCTCAACTGTAGAAAATCCCTCTCCACCCATTTCTCCTCCTGGTTCGAATTCTCCAAAACCCCCTTCCAGGCCCTTCCCTGAGCAAGGGCAGGAGGGCGGCCACTGGACCCAGGGAGAAAAGGTCCATTGTCATGGTTTTGTTCTGACATTAAAGGGTTATATTATAAACCAAAGCCTGCAACACAATTGCAATTAAGGAGAATCAAATATCAAAGTAGGGTCAACAAAATTCATTAAAATCTTCTTGCTTAAGAATCTGACTAACTAAATATAGCAACAAGATCGCTTGTTTTAATCTTTCACAATTTCAGTGCACATAACCAATAGTTCAATCATCCACCTCGGGAGAACCCTAAATGGACTATACAGTCTATCTCTATACCGACAGTTAAATAAACAATCAACACTAGAATGAAAATTTTCACTGTATTTCTCCCAAGACCCAACCAAAGAGAGCCCAAATTTATATAAGGATTATTAGTTAATCTTCAAATGCATTAGCTTAATTAAGATGAAGTAAAACATTTATGTGAATTTCAATCTTCAAAAAGGTGATATTGATATACAACATTCTGGAAATGCACAGTTATAAGTCAAGGTTCCCAAAAGACCCATGTGGTAAGCTTTTAGTTATGAGCTAAGTATCTCTGTATGAAGAATAATCCTAATGCTGACCCACGAAAACAACGAATTTCTATTTTTTATCATTAATACTCCGTAGCAGAGAAAGGATGAAGATATAGTAGGCTAATACCATAACCAAGCAATGCCAATTCAAGCTTAAATCAATGGCACCTCAATTAATTAGTGAGACAAAGGAAAGTCCCCAAACAACTTAACAAATATACTATAATTCGATAAACGAATCAACTTGGTGTAATCCCCAATTCGATTAGTGGGAAACCCAATTCAATAAACAAATCAAGTAATCCCCATATCAAAATTATATTAGAAATTAGAACCCTAAACCCAAAACCCAATTCAATTAACAAATTCTCAATCTTATAAATCAATCAACAAAATAGACCTAAGATAAGAAATAACGATGAATTTGCTACATCAATCAAGCAAAAATTTACTAATTCAACTTCCATGAATCCAAAATCCAAACCCCAATCAATTTCACACCAGCTAATTAAAAAAATAAAAATAAAATAAAAAAAAGTAACAATTCAGAATAACTTACGTTTGTAATATCAAATCAACAGAGCTGAAATCTCGAGATACAACGAACCCAGCTGCTCAAAAACGCGGGTCAGAGGAGAGAGAAAGAGCAGCAACCAAAATCAACGCAACGGTAGAAAAATCAAATTGTGTTTTAAGCCATTTTCAATTTTCAGGAGAAAGAAGAGTTAATTGATTTTTTTTTTTTTTTTTTTTTGGTGCAACTTTAATTGAATGTTGTCTGAAAAAAAGGCCCAAATTTTACATGTTAATATGTGTGTGTTGGGCTAGTGAACATTGGGCTTTTCATCAACTACAACTCTACAAGCCCATATGGAATATGTTGAAAACAGTGTCATTTTTCAATGAATGATATGGTAATGAAGCACAAAGTGATTTGTTAACCTTAAAAATAGAATATACAAGTTCAAGTACTAATTTTGAAATAATAAATTTACGCACATACGAATTATCCCTCTGAACTATTATCTTTGCAATGCCTATAATTTTGACTGCAATAATCAATTACGTTAGTCACATAGTTTATATCATAGTTGTCGAGCCTTAGTCAAAGCTTACAAGAAGAGAGTCTACCCACATACAAGTCAAGTGAGGTTTTATCATAAATCATGAATAAATAGGAGAAATATCTCATAAACTTCATATGCTACTTATATTTCCACCAATTTGTCAACGAGAAACAATTTTCTTCACAGGGACACAACATGCATCCGACAACGATTAGTTTGCCTTCATAACATGCATCACACAAGCTTTGCTTATAAAAGTTATGTGTGACATTATATACATATTTTTGTGTAGATAAGGAAAAAAAATCAACATATCAAAATATGTCACTAGCTTTTTTTTTTTTTTCAAAAAGTAAGATATGGGGGAGTCCCCTCACCCTATCACAGGAGGGGGGGTGAGGATCAATCCCCCAACCACTTGGGAAATGGAGGGACTAACCATCCCTCTATCTCCTATGTTCTCACTTGTCTTGAGCTAATTGGATGAACCTTTGACAGTGAATGAAAAAGATATGTAAATCCTCATTTCAAAGTGCAGCTAATGGGATTTAATCTTGCATATTGATGCTTTTGAAATACTCCATACAAATCTTTCCTATGAATGAGCACATAGCTACGATAAACAATATGCTTCGTATATACTACATATATCATTATTTGTCTTTATCTTAAAATACAATTCTTGTATATATACACAAAAGATCTACTTTATATTATACAAGTAAAATTGAATAGAAGATCAAAATGTTGAGTAGGACAGTAATCTTTTCTCCAAGAAAGTCCACATGGGGTGTGCACCCCTTTCATTAATTGGAGCTCCCCTTTTGGAGGCAGGATGGCGTAAACGGCAGTCAATATTTATCATGGGCCCCATCTCTATTTGATCCCCTTAATCTTTGTGATTTTACGATATCCACTACTTACTAGAGTGGAACCGGGAAGTGCTAGGCAGTACCATGGAGGCATGGACTTAGTCTTACATACAAAGATGTGGTTGAAAATGCCCTTCATTTCCCCGTCAAAAAAAAAGAAAATGCCCTTCATTTTTACTCGCGTGTACTCAAAATTTTTAAGTCGTAAAAACAGTCGAAGTAGGATAAATAAATAAAAATATTTGTAGATATGTGTATAAGTCCATTTGTATAATTGTATACAATCAATTTAGTCACTCACACTCCCATGCATACCTAAATCAAATATAATACTCCATATTATAAAAATTTACTTTTATACAATTGGAAAATTTGGAAGTGATGTTTAACAATGATCATGTATTAAACGAATATTTATAGTTCAATTAATTATAGGAAAATGTTATACATAGCCCTTAAGACTATATATAAGCATTAAATATACTCTAGAAAATTATTTTAATTTAGAAAATCATGACAAGAATACACTAATTACACTGATTTACGCGTGTTTTTGTCAAAAATTCTTAATTTTATACAATTTTCAAGAGTGTATTTTTATACGCAGCCCTAAAGGCTACATATAGCATTACCCTTAATTATATTACCTATTTCGAGATAAACTTAATGCTCTAACTAAAACAGTAGAGGGGTGAAATAATAAATTATATATGGAGTTACATACCATTGTGTAATAAGAAGTCAAGGCACAACTAACTCAACTAATCATGTTAGATTAAATTAATTGTAAGTGATTGTTCAACTGTAGAGATAATTGTTTTTAAAATATATAGCACTACTTTCATTTTCCAAGGGTTTGGTTTAGTAGTGGATTTCAATTATTGTACTTATAAAAAGCAATAATGATTTATTCATATACTATCAAACCAATTTCATCTTTGTGGTGTGCAAATTTTCACTATAGCCATAAGTAGTCCATAACAAATGTTAAATATGATTCAATCTTTATTTTATTATATTATTAGTGTTAAAAAAAAAAAAAAAAGTTTTGGACATACATACAGAAATGTATGTGGTACCTACATGCTTACCAAGCTCCAACCTTGAACCCACTTTGATTATTATATGAAAATGGGATCTTAATATTTTGAAGCCAAAAATCATTGCAAGCCTGTCATAGACTCATTACGAATATAAACGTACAACCTCATTTAACTTGGTGATATTATATTATCTACTTTTAAATTCGAAATCAACAACCAAACAATGAAACAAATATCGACATATTTAACCTATGTTAGATTGTTAAATGGTGAGGAGGTTGACTATTATACAACCTTTGTTTAATGATAGTCTTGCCTAAACTTTTACCATCAACTTTCAAATATCATCAAATGATAGATTGACTTTGGCAAAATTACTACTTATTTAAAAGACAATATACCTTTTCACTTTTTTAGTTATGAGTTTCTAGTCTAGTAAAGATATATTCGTTTTATTATCCGATATTTATTATTTATGTGTGCATATTCTTCTTTAAATGATATTTTAGTTGTAAATATAAAGGGAATACAACAAAATATTTCAGGCACAAATTTTGAATATTTCTGATTAATTTAGTAGCATACTACTCTTATATATGGAGTCATATCAAGAGTGGAACGTCATTCCAAAGGATGCATATATTTTGCCTTGTAGCATTTTATTAGCAAAAAGGTTAAGGGAATAATTTTTATTTATTTGTTTTTTTTTATTAATTTAAATTCCAAAGGATGCATATATTTTGTCTTGTAGCAATTTATTAGCAAAAAAGTTAAGGGAATAATTTTTATTTATTTGTTTATTTATTAATTTTTTTACAAAAAAAGGTCTAGGCAATAATTATGTGAAAGACAACTACTTCTAATTATCTGTAAATGAAAAATAAGCGGAATTATTAAGCATTTGACCAAATAAAGGGAAGACAACTGGATAATATGGTGACAATTTTGTGGATGAGATAATAATAATATCACTTGCTAATAAAGCCTTATAATTGGCTATTGCTAACCTAGTTAATCATATAGTTATGTTTCCTCTTATATTAATTAAAAACATACTTAGAATTGATGAAATTTTATCTGTCGTTTTTTATTGTTAGGGGAATGAATTCCAATTCAACTATCTAAAGTTGTTTGTATACATATGGTATAGGCCAAAGAATAAAATGTATTTTTTTTTTTTTTTGAAGGGAGAATAAAATGTAGTTTAAACATTATTGTGGACAAATATATTAATACTTATATAATTTAATCAGTTTTTTTCCCTAAAAATTAAGATACACATGGAATTAGGTGCATTTCTTTCTCTTATAAGATTGCCATCTAGTAACTTAAAACAGGGTAATTTTATTTTTCAAAACAAATTACCACTCTAACTATAACATTTGGCAATGTAAAAATTTGATCATTTATATTTGTAATTATCAATAAGTATAAATTGTATCTATAAAAACTTATTGTTCATAAATAATCATTAAAATGATCAAATAACAAATATTGATTCAAGTGATACGGAGTAAATGCATGTAAAATAGTACAAACATCAAATTGATGCATTTGTTTTGAAATGGAAGTAGGCCCTGTTCTTTTGAGCTATTCTACTCTGCTCTAACATGCTCTACTGAAATCTGCTCTGCTCTACCCTGTTCTGCTTAAAAATAATATTAATAATTATTATTAATAAATAATAATAATTATTATTAACATTTAATAATAATAACTAATATTTATAGATAATAATAATAATAATAATCAACTCATGAAGAAATTGGTAGATATATATTTCACGAAGGTTACTGCTTCTGCAGAATCCGCCTATTCTTTGTCTCCTCGGCAATCAGCATTGTGGAAATCGCAGCAGGGAGATCACACCTCTGCTTGGCTTCGGGCAGTCCCTATTTCTGGGTTGGGTCAGACGATGAATCCAAAGACCTACCAATGTGTGTTGTGCTACAGGATGGGTGTTCCATTGTTCTTTATCTCGACGCCGTGCTCTGCTTGTTCTCGGGTTTTTACTGGGGATATTTTCGGTGATCACGCGGTGTCGTGTGCTGGTATTGTGGGTATAAAACATCGGCATAATGTTGTCTGGGATACCCTTGTTGATATCTGCTACAGATTTGGGATTTCGGCAAGAAAGGAGGTTGACATAGGGTTGTCTGAAGGGAATGACGGGGCCCTTACACCTGCTGATGTGTTACTTTATTCCTGAGATCGTGGTCGCGATGTTTGTGTGGACTTAACAGGGTCTTCTCCTTTGACACAAATAAGGCTATTTGACTTTGTCCCTGGGCGGGTTGTGGCTGATGCGGCTCATTGGAAGCGGGTGAAGTATGAAGCTAGCTGTCGGCTGATTGGTTATGGTTTCATTCCCTTCTCCTTTTCTTTGCTTGGGGAATTAGAGAAGGAGATTGTTGCGTTGTTGAAGTGGGTTCAGAGATTCTCGACGATGCAAGACATTGGGGCTCGTGCTGCAGCTTATATCTTCACTAGGGTAGGGTTTGCTATAGCTAGAGGAGTGGGGGTCCAGATTGTATCTTGGCTTCCCACTAATTTATTGTAGGTTGTATAACTCTGTCTGTTTTTGAGATAATAATAATAATAATAATTATAATAATAAAAATAACTAATATATAATATTAATCGATAATAATAACTAATATTTAATGATAATAATTAATATTTATATTATTTAACACATTTTTTAATGTTATAGAAAGAGTAAAAAAAATCTTTAAAAAATCAAATAATAATAATAATAGTAATAATAATAATATCATAAATAATAATAATATTTAAAATAATAATAGTAATAATAATAATAATGCGATAATAATAATAATAATAAATAGTTAATGATAATAATGCGATAATAATAATAATTAATGATAATAATGCGACAATAATAATAATAATAAATAATTAATGATAATAATGCGATAATAATAATAATAATAATAATAATAATTTTGAAATCTGCTCTACTCTACTCTATCAGAAGCTCAAAAGAATAGGTTTGTGGTAACGTAATAAGTGCAATACATCTATTGAAAAACAGATAAAGTATAAAAAAATATTCACTCATTTGTCATGTCCAATACAATGTGGGCCAATCTGTATATTTGCCCTAAAACAGAAAAACAAAAGAAAAAAGGTCTTCCTCCAACTTCTTTAATCAAAAAACACAAAAGTACACTCACCCTCTTAACAATTTTCTGATTACCATGAAAGCGTTGTAAACAAGGTACATATGTGAGGGTTTTCCAGAAATAGGAAATTTTTTAGGGAAAATTGCTAAATATATAAATTTTATTTTATATATAATTTCAGACTCAACAAATTTTGTTATTTCATGCTAACAGAACTTACCATTTCTGGGTCTGTTAATGCCTTCACCTACTAGCTTCCCCTGCATCAGGTACAACCATTTCTTGCATTTGACCTTCCCCCCTTTTTTTTTTCCTGCCAATTTTTTTCTGGGTTTTTATATTTTGTTCAATTTTTTTTTTTTTGTAAATAATTTCATGATTTTAGGATTGCAATATTGTAATTATTAATGGGTATTTTGCCATTGATATAATTTGGGTTGTTAAGAATGTTGTAACTAAAATTTGTTTAGATTAGAATTTAAATGGGTTTTGTTGTTCTTGGTGTTTTACAGCTGGGAATCTCAAAAAGATTGAAACTTGATGATGTTTGTGCTATGAAATCAGGTGTTGCATGTATTTGGTGTCAATTTATTCATAATTATGTAGCTTTTTTTGTGTTGTTTGAGAGGAATTTTGGATTATGAAGTCTTATTTGATGAGAAATGCTCTTAAATCATCTGATTTTGTTATCTCAAGTGAAGAAAGAACTCTTTTTCTGAACCTAGCTGAGTTCTTAGATGTTAAAGGTTAGTAACAGGTGTTTTTGATGAATTGGACCGTTAGTTTCGGGCTATTGTAATCATTATCTATTTGGGAAAGGGCTTACCTTTCTGTTTGAGCGAATCGCGTTGCTTGTTTTGGCTATAAAGTAGAATGTAGATTTGATTTTAGTTGTACTACATTGTATAAATGTTTAATCCTGGATGGATGAGTTGTTGGTTACATTTTGATCGAGGCTTGTGCTTTTCGAATTGATGTAGGTAAGATGTTACACATCAGTTTAGTAAAAATGCTGAATTATTTGAGACTTGACCACCAATTTGTCTTATTGCCTTTTTTTTTAATGAATCTTTTAATATGCACAAAATATGTGGTTTATCTAATTAGGGGCCTAATGACACTTCTCTTTTATTCTTAGTTTTAATACTATTGTTGCTGATTGACCCTAAAGGAGGGAGGGGTGGGCTGTTGAACCCGAACCTTCATTATTCTATACATCTCCCAATGGATATTTGAAATTGATTTGTTATTTACAGTCTATACTAGTGTGAGTTGGGAACAATGTACAGTAGTTATGGGATGGGAGTGGCTTCAAGGCTTGGAGCCAGCTGTTTCTGAGATTCGTATCGCCTTTCTTCTATTTAAAGTGTCTGAATGCCTTATATAACCATGTTTAGGATAATTATTGTTACTGAACTTTATGGATTCGTACAAGAATACAGTGAACTTTCTGGTCATAAAGGTGCAAAACATAATTTAGCTTTTTAATTGTAAGGTCATCTACATCTATTAAAGCGCATGTTCTAACCTTTTACGCCATTACCCCACACTAACTCAAGGGACATAAGCAGGGGCTACAGGAAAAGTTGTCATAGACTAGTTTTACATGATTGCCTTGCAGACTAAAACTTGACTTCAATAAGAGATTTGGGGTTACAATTTCTGTTTTTTTTTTCTTTTTTTTTGCTTTTATGGTTTTCTCATTCTTTTGTATCTATCGCGCTGAGATATGTGTGGTTCATATATGTCAAATTGACGAGAAGGAAAACTTTTAATTATTAGTTGAAGGCTGTTATGATTAAGTGCTTGAAGCTTAGGAACTTGGTCTGATTAAGCTTGCTTTAGATGTAAATTTTATTCTTCTGTATTGAGATGGCATGTATGTTGGGTTAGATTGATGTCTGTAGGAGTTTTCTATGATCTATCTTTTGGACATGGAAGTTCCATGGGGCCTCACAGTACAGAAGCAATATGAAATTCTGTCTCCTTTCTTCCTGCTGAACTTAAGAAACTTGATTCTCTGCTGAATCTAGTCTGTTTGTCATTGGTGTCAAAGTTTATGTTCCTATCTTTATTAGATTGAGCCTCTCCTTTGTATGTTCTTTTTTAGCTTGGAGCTTTCTGCATCAGATAGAACGCTTTCCAAACTGACTTGTAGGGCAAGTGCCCGTCTTTTTTTTTTTTTTAAAACATAGGGAAATGAAGAGATCTACTCTGTTGAAAGATGTCTTTAGCTTATGAATTATTAGCACATCAGTATGTCTAGTAACCCCTTTATCTTAATCATGTTGTGATTCTTGTAAGGTTGAGAATTAGATTTCTGTTCATAAATATATGGTCACTGGTACTTTTAATTGGCTATTAAGTATTCTTACCATATCATTTGTTGTATTTATGCAGGTGAAATGGAGACTACATATATGAGATGTCTGAACAACAGTATTTCTCGATTCATTCATTTAATGTCATGTCAGACATCAAAGGCTATGCCTACTCAAAATGATTTTGAGAGTTTGGCTATTATGCTGAAACATTTGAAACCTGTCCTTGATGAAATTAATGATGATGACAAGATAGCTTCAGAAGGAAATTTATGGAAGGAGTGTGAAGATTTGGATGCTTACATCAATTCTGCAAGAGAATTTATGGAACGATGGTCGCTGAAAATGAGCAAACTTTTGACTGTGAGTGGATGAATTCCTTCTGCTCCTTACCCCCCCCCCCCAAAAAAAAAAAAAAAAAAAAAAACGAGACATGAAGATGCAGTTTTCATTGAAAATTAGAAAAACATGAAACCTTAACCATAAATCAATCATCTTGCTTAGAAATACCCCCCCCCTTCCCCAACTAAGAAACCTGAAGATACAGTTTCCATTGAAAATTAGTAAAAACACGAAACCTTAATCCATAGATCAATTATCTTGCTTAGAAATATAAAGTTTTGTGTTTTATGAACAATATTACTTACTAGTAATTGTTAGTTTGCATTATTTATTTATTTTTTTTTTATTTTTTTTTGACATGGGTATTACAAAGAAATCATTTTTTGGACTTTCAACATCCATAGGAAGGAATATGTTACTGGTATATAAAGGAAGAGGTTCCCCTGAGCTTCTTCAAGTTTCGGGAGTTTCCATTAAATGTGACCATCTATAGAGTTTCAGTGCACCATAGTTAAGAATCTTAAGATATGCTGAAGGTGCTGGTACCTTTGCAATAGGTGTTGTAGTGGTTTACCAAATGGTAATGGTTTAGACTGTAGTTACTTCCATTGTTAGGTTCATTTCTCCAGAATATAGGCTTTTGTTACTTGTTTCTCGTCACATATCCTTTTTTATGTACTTGAACTATTTGCTATAAACTGCAAATTTCTGTTGTTTGTGGGCTACTGTATTTTGTAATCGGTTAGTCTTCTTCGTTATAAAGGGTGTGCTCTCTGTCCTTTTATGCTGCTCTAGTTTTTTCTGCAATCTTTTTGTCTCTGGGGTGTATATTTGTATTCTGTGCTAGATGTTGACATTCTTCATCTTTTGAATATACCTTAATATCTTATTATAATCAATTTTAACTGTCAGGTTTCACAAAGTGAGCAATTGCTGAAAAGAATCAGGAGTTCTTCCCTTGAGATATGTGGTATATTATGTAGGTTATTACGGACATCATCGTCTTCATCTAGTTTTGCTGGTGTGCAAGTATGTACCGAGATAATGGTAGCTTGAGATAACCCTTTATCTTATTATTTAATTCTACTTTCAAGCTCTTGGCTAGTCTCTAACTTCTGTAGGACATTTTAGCATTGTGTCCAGGAGCTTCAAAGCTGGCAGCCGGAGCGGATCTCAGTACACATTGAACAAGCTCTAAAAATAAAAAACGACAGCCTGATTTCTTGCAGTGAACACTTGGCAGAAATCGCGGAGTCTCTGAGCCTAGCATCAAATCAGGAATTACTTAAAGAGAGTATTGCTGTTGAAAAGGAAAGGGTGAAAGTTCATGCGAACAAGTGCACAGAAAAAGTGGATCAGATTAACCAAATTGTGGATCTCCTGGCTCTTATTCGTGATTATATGCTAACAAACGGATGCTTTGGAACAATGAATGGCATTCCTATCCCTTCATACTTCCGCTGCCCTTTGTCATTAGATTTTATGTTAGATCCAGTCATTGTAGCTTCTGGACAAACATTTGAGAGGTCGTCCATCCAAATATGGCTTGATCATGGGCTAAACACTTGCCCCAAAACCCGCCAATATCTTTCGCACACGAATATCATACCAAATTACACTGTCAAGGCACTGATAGCAACTTGGTTTCAGGAAAATAATCTGAAGCCTCCAATTAGCTCTGACAGCACTAATGCCGATGACAGCACCAGTGCTCAAGATGTAATCCGTACTGATAGTTTCCGTTGCTCAGTTCATAGCAGTGACTCTATGTCTAGGTCCTCCTTAGAGATTGGAGATGCAGTTGGAAGGCTAAATATCGATGATCCTTCTGTATCTGATGAGGTGAGCTCCAGCATGTGCCAAGGTTTGGAAGCCAAGAAGTTCAACAACAGTTCCCCTGAACACTCATATGCTCATAGTAGGACCCACTCTGCAACAAGTGCTGTTTCCAGCTGTGATTACATGCCTTCATCAACAACTGAAATATCAAGGATATCTGACAGGCATGAAAATGTAGGCGAGATCATGTCAGAACGTTCTACATGTAATTCTTTATCAGGGAGAGGATCTCAAAGTGCAAAAACGAGTTCTGAGAATGGGAGCAATAACTATTCCAGAGTTAACTCACTTTCATTCTCTGACTCAGGACATGATGAAACAACTACACCATCCCATGTTGATGAATTGGTCGAAAAACTAAAAAGTCCATCCAATGCACTGCAAACTGCAGCTGCAGCCGAGCTACGACTTCTTGCTAAGCACAACATGAATAATCGCATCATTGCTGGGAAGTGTGGGGCCATTGGCCCTTTAATCTCACTTTTACAATCTGATGTAAAGATAACCCAAGAGCATGCTGTGACTGCCCTTCTAAACCTTTCACTTAATGAAGAAATCAAAGCAAGGATTGCAGAAGCAGGAGTAATTAAACCATTGATACATGTTCTTAAGACAGGAACTGATACAGCTAAAGAAAACTCAGCTGCAGCTCTTTTTAGTCTCTCTCTTCTTGAAGATTATAAGTCAAAGATTGGGCGCTCAGGAGCAAGCAAAGTGCTGGTCGATCTTCTTGCTAGGGGGACCGTCAGAGGGAAAAAGGATGCTGCAACTGCCCTGTTTAATCTCTCCATCTGTCATGAAAATAAAGCTCGAATAGTTCAAGCTGGAGCAGTGAAGCATCTTATTGAGCTTTTAGACCCTCCCACAGGAATGGTTGACAAATCTGTAGCCCTTCTCGCAAATCTATCCACAATCTCAGAAGGGCGTATGGCAATTGCTAAGGAAGGTGGTATACCATTGATTGTTGAGATTGTTGAGTCAGGATCACAAAGAGGAAAGGAAAATGCTGCTTCTGTGCTGTTGCAATTGTGTCTCAATAGTCCCAAGTTTTGCAACTTGGTACTCCAAGAAGGTGCTGTTCCTCCACTTGTTGCTCTATCTCAGTCGGGAACCCCTAGAGCTAAGGAGAAAGTAAGTGATATTCTTCTCTTTCGTAACTTCTTTCTCATATTTTTGCTGCCGCTGTCTTTCTTTCTTTCTTCTTCCTTTTTTTTCTTTTTTTTTTTGGGTGGTAGATTTTGAACTTAAATGTCGCAGATAAGTCGAATTTTGCAACATTGCTGTATCGATATTGTAAGTGCCATGTATTCTAACTTTCCTCCGTTTTTTATTAGATGCATCACTTTTAAATTGCGGACTCCTAGGCAATTTTTGGAGTAGAGAGAGATAGAGAGAAAAAATAAAGAGGGTCCATGTGATATGAGAGAGAGAGAGAGAGAGAGAGAGAGAGAGAGAGTATTTATTGACTAAAAGAGAAAGTGATGCATCTAAATTGAACTTCCATATAAAGAAAGTGATGCATCGAAATATAAAACGGAGGAAGTATTGTCTTTCCTGTGTCACTAAGTCACTTGAAAGAAAGAGCTTGGCATTGATGTTTTTAAATAGTAGCTATTTGAAACTTTTAAGTGCTTACTAGGAATTTTAGTTCTCATTGAGTTACATGGATCGTTGAAAGTATAATGCAAGGTTTTGTTTATGGATTTGCAGGCTCAGCAGCTTCTAAGTCATTTCCGTACTCAACGTGAAGGGGCTGCAGGCAAGAAGAAAAAGTGAGACAACATTTGCTACTGCTTTATTCTTTGTTTTGTATTTTCAGAGCTAGGCCATTTGCGTTAGAAAATCCATGTCCATCATGTAGATCAGGTATTCTTTTCATCGTAAATCTTTTCAATCAAGTATGCCATCATTAAATTTTTGGTTTGTATAGTACATATTAGTTTCTAGTCAGGTAGGGGTTTGTCAGTAATTATTTCACCAAAATTTCATTAGCTGTCGTGATGAGCTTGTTCTTGATTAAGGATTACTGTGTATATATGTGTAATATAGAATCTTGATGTTTGCTATGCATTGTTCTGTTTGCTTTACATATTCATGTAAAGATTGCAATGTTTAAGCATTCAACGGCTTTTTAGGCATGCTTGTAGAGAGCAGATTTCTTGTTTAGATTACGATCTTTGCATTATACAGGGTGGCTCCCAATTACTGAGCAAATCTTGCATACTTCCATATCTCAAAATTCAGTGATTTTAGTTTGAGACGTGGATCCATAAATTCAGGAAGTATTGTATTGAGTTTGGATCTTTTTGAAGGGTCTTTCAAGGTACTCTGGTAGACAGTAGAGAATGCTCCGTTAAGAGTATGTGTTTTTGGGAGCATGATATGATGACTTCCTTACAGAGGTCATATGCCTATCTATCACCGTAGACACCGAAAAATTTGTAACATAATAAAGGGTCTGCACTGTGCAGTGGGCTGGACTTGAGTTTGATCATTGAATGGTCTTTTATTGCTAGGTATGGGGTTATATCTATTCCTTTTGGTCAGACTGCCCGGTGCTCTACTAGGCTTCTCGCAGCAAAACAGAAATACTGTTTGGACATTAAAGGGACTGAGGAATTGGAGTTTCAACTTTAACAGCATTTCAAATTTATTACTAGTACAAACATACAAATTATATTTCTAGAGTAAAAAATATTTGCAGCACGATTGGCTTCTCTAAAACGATAAAAGTAATATCTCTTCTTTACAACACATGGTTACTTGATGCAACCTTCGCAACTAATCATTCTTCTCTTTCCCGTATTTTGGAAACTTTGCTTGCTTTACGTGTACTATGTGAGCCTTGTGAGGTGCGCGTTATTGGTGCACATATGTAATGTGCCTGCATATGAGGTGCATGTTATTGGTGCACATATGTAATGTGCCTGCATATGAGGTGCATGTACTATACATTACACACTTCCGATAGGAGTATTGATATGACTATTCAACAAAGGCAAGTGTATTCACCACAGACCAGGTAAACGGTGGTGCAATGAATGGGTCTACAGTGGGCTGGACTTGAGTTCGGCCCATTGGATGGTCATTCACTGCCGGCAGACCAGCCGAGTACATATATTTTTACTTCCACAAAACAAAGAAGAAAGTAAATTTAGTGTTAAAATCTCAACCAAAAAAAATAAATCAAAAGCTGGTGCATGAATCTGGTATAAACTCTTGTCCTTGTCAAATGCAACTAGGTTTAATTATGGAAAATGAAATGTTGGTATTTCATGCTATGGTCCAACTATATGAAGTCAAGCATTTTTTTTTTTCCTTAATTCAATGGACCCTCCTTTATCAATGTTTGGGGGATTAGGCATGTGATCACGTCATTGAACTGATTTATATTGAATTTAATCGAGTTACTTATTGATTTTTATAGAATTAAATCAATTGAAACCTATTAAACGTGAAATTTGTTGTTCAGAGCTGGTATTTATAACTTCCACTAAGAAACTTCTTTCTTTTTTTTTTTTTTTTTTTTTTTTTGGTGCCTATTCAATAGTCACTAATGTCTTCCTCAAATACTACTAATATTTATTATTGAAACTGAATTTTTCTACATGTTGAAGAGAACAACACCTTATTTATTACGGCGTGACTTTTAGGATCTAAAAAATGCAACCATAAAACTTATAATGACTCTTTCGTTTTTTGGTAACTCATAAATTAATTACTGCAAATTATACAAGTATTATTCTTTGAGCTTTATAAAACCTCTCACTACCCTAACACCTATACAAGATTACTTAATAAGTATAAAACTTATTTAGCTACAAAATTTTATGTATCACAAGTTTTAATCAGCCATTAAATTCAATTTACATTTAATATTTCAGAAAATCTTTAACTTTAATTTGAATGGTGTTGAATTGAGTTCCAACAGTAGAGACATAGTGGTAACAGTGACGGTGGGCCGGTGTGGACTAAATGCAGTGAATTCTTCGTATATACATAAGAAATTTCTTAAATAAAAACTTCTTGGGTTCTAAATTATGCTTATTTAATTTAAAATTCTCTTCGTACTAAGCAAAATTTTAGCATTTTATGTAATGAACATATGATATTTATACTTAAATAGTCATATTTTTTCAGGTGCTATTACCTATGCTTTCTCTCTATATTTAGGAAGTATAAGGTATTCCATTCTTAGAAAAAGTTGTCTTAAGTGTATAATGGGTTAAATTAGATTGTTAGAAAATAGAAATGACAAAAGTTTCTTAGTTTCCGAGATTTTTAACATTCATAAGTACATTTCCAATGCAAGCACAAGAAACTCTAGATTATTAAAAATCAAGTGTTATGGCGATTTTTGTTATGTTGGAAAACTATGATAACAATACATAATTTTTAAAAGAGTTTTTTTTTTAGAAAATGCCTTAAATCTGTTTGTCCCGCGTATATATATATAGTACTCTATATTTTCAAAATTTGATAACAATATGCACATTAGTAATAAAATAAGTAACACTAAATCTAGAATTTTTAGTCAATCTAATATTTATACTAAATTGGGTTTATGTGAAAATTGTCTCATATGTTTCCCAATCTATTGATGCGTAGATTATTGATACTCTGCTTAAGTGTTTAAGTAACCTCGTTTGTGAAATTAACTAATAGCACTATCTAGAAGATGAACTATATATTTAAAATCAAAATTTTATTTTGAATCCTAATTTATTCAGGCATGCGTCGTATATAACACTTTTAAGATCACATAAAAAAGCTAGTGATATGTGTACATTACGAACAAAAAACCATTTAATGTTGGAATTTCAGTCAATTTTAATTGGGGTCGTTAAATTTATGAGAAACCCGTTTCAAAGGCTATTGTATCCCCTCTTCGACATGTATAGTAGTCTCTAAGTAAAATTTCTAATACATTTAAAATCACATAATCTATGGTGCAAAATTAAAGCTTCCTAACTAGAACAACATTAATTAGAAAAAAGAAACATCATATGTATGTTCACCCATGGGATAGTTTCTTAAGAGAAAACCGCCTCAAAGTCTACTAGTCATATTTCACCCTAACAAGACATTACATGTGAATTTTGTAAAAAAAGTAAATACACATCAAGGTAACATTTCTAGTTAGATTTCCCTTCCTCTTTCCCCATGAGAATAAGAGTAAATTGGTAAAACCATCAAGTTCAACTTGTCCCAAACTTAGAGAAGAAACCCTTGAACCCCTCCTCCAATGTAAAACCTTTTTCAAATTAAACCCACAAACACAAAGAGACAAACCTTTCACTATACCAATTTTCACTTGCTCTAACAAGTAACACCAATTCTCTTTTACTTGTACTTCTTGCATTTCTTCTTGAAATCAACCACACAATCACACATACATACATGATACATCCCATTCTATCCTTCCTCCTCAATTATTTATACACCCCACACTCCCCTTCTCATCCCAAAATTATTCCATCCTTAACTAAATAACACCTCTCTTTTTCTCCTTTAAAAAAAAAAAAAAAAAAAATCAGCAACCCTAAAAAGTAAGCAATTCAAAAACTAACAACAACAACAAAGCTATTAATTAACATGGATCATCCAATCTCTCATCACACATCAAACAATAATAACTCAACATCATTCTTCCTTTCATCATCTTCTTCAACTACTAATAGTTCTACTACTCCTACTATCACCTCTTGTTCTTCGCCCTCGATCTCTACATCATTAAGTATCCCAACCACTCCACCACCACCAAGCAGTAGCCGATACGAGAACCAAAAGCGGCGAGACTGGACCACCTTCGGACAGTACCTGAAGAACCACCGGCCTCCCCTGGCGCTGAACCGATGTAGCGGGGCCCACGTATTGGAGTTTCTACGGTACTTGGATCAGTTCGGCAAAACTAAGGTGCACAATCATATGTGTCCGTTTTACGGTCACCCTAATCCTCCTGCCCCCTGCCCGTGCCCGTTGCGTCAAGCGTGGGGATCGCTTGACGCTTTGATCGGACGGCTCAGAGCTGCTTACGAGGAAAACGGGGGTAAGCCCGAGATGAACCCGTTTGGGGCCCGCGCTGTACGGCTTTACTTAAGGGAAGTTAGGGATTCTCAGTCTAAGGCCAGAGGCATTAGCTATGAAAAGAAGAAGCGTAAGCGGGTCCCACAGAATACGAGCTCGAATAATAACGAATCGATGTCGATGATGCCGCCGCCACTGGCGCAGCAGCCATTGCCACCTCCAGCTGGTGCTGTTAATATTATGTAAGGATGTTTTGTTTTTATTAGGTGGTGTTATGTGCGTATTATTAATAATTATGAGGTATTTGTGTATGTATTTATATTTGAGGTTGTTGTAGTAGTAGTAGTAGAATGAAGTATGTTATGAATTATGATGATGTTGAATTGGGTAGTTGGTTGGTTAGGTTTTGTAGGGTTACTACTATTAGTATCATCTTATGGTCAATGTTATTGCCTTCTTAGGGAAAAGTTATCGAATTTGTGTTAATTATGTGCTACTCTTATCTGTAGACTAATTAGTGTAATAAGATGATATGGCAATTCAAATAAAAATGAATTAATTAAGTCAAGTCTTTGTAGCTAGGGTGGTCAGCTGGTGCCTGGTGGGAGTCGTTTAATAATGTTATTTCTAATTATTCTGAGATAGTTTCGTATGGAAAAATTTGTGATATGATTTTATATTTGTGGCGTTGACTAGATTCATGGTATATATCTAATTGATGAAATTAACAAATGGAAATGTGCATGAGCTTTGAAATTCCCAGGTTATTAAGTTGTGGTTGATTATATGCAGTGGCGGACTGGGCCTTGTGCCTGGTGGGTCAAATGACTCACCAGGGCCCAAAAAAAATTTTAAGTTTTTTTTTTTTAAAAAAAAAATAAAAATAAAATTTCTAACTTCTGAGTTAGCCCTAGCCCACTTCGCCAGTTCGCCTCTTCCTCAGTTCCTCTTCGCTTCATCTTCCTCTTCGCATAATCGCATCTTCCTCAGTTCCTCTTCGCTTCATCTTCCTCTTCGCTGGGTTGCTGAATAGCACTTGCTGTGATTCTTTTGTAAGTTTCTAGGTTTTTATTTAATTTTCTCCTTGTGTATATATGATTGGGTGAGTAATTATAGATTTATCTATTCAGCTATTCTTTGGGCTAATTGGTTCTCAATTTTCTTAATGGGGGAAATTGAGGGGTAGTCGAACACTATCTTTTATGATGTAATTATTTTCCAAGCTTTAACATTTGTTTTTCTAATTAATGATCACACGGATCTAATTTGACATATGGCAGATTCTTAATCTTATCTTTGCAGTCTAATAGTTGATGATGATTGGTATAATGGCTTTTTATAATGTTAATCTTATTCTAGTTTATTGCGGTTTATAAGAAAATCTATACTTTTTTTTTTCAACATTCTAGGCTCTGACCATTATCATGTCGCTGGAATTACTTTTGCTAATGTAGACAACTGATAAACACAAATTCCATTCATGTTTGTTATTTTTACATTACTATATCTTGAGATATACACCCGGGTGTTTAATCGGATTTTCTACGGGTAAATCCTAGTTATTTATTGGAGGAAAACAATCTCTATCCATGGTATTAGAAGTTCCTAGTTTGTTTGATTAGCCGCTTTTGTGTGTAGGGATATGGGGATAGAGAGAGAGCAGAGTAGCACATCCGAAGCCGAAAGAGAGGAAAAAAGAATTGTGATGCTGGCATGGAGCGATGAACGCTTGCCTTCGGAAAGACTACAAGGTGGTACTCAATTATATCACACTCGTGCAGAATTTCACTCGGTGGATCTGAAGCACAATATATTAACTCGTTCTTGCTTTCCTTCAATTATCATGGCTAAGTTCTTTTCATCTGCCATGGTGTCATCTTTGAATAAATTTATCTACTTAGTGGGAGTGGGAGGAGCGCGATTATCTGTCGTCCAATCATCTAATGAGTCTTCCTCTTCCAACCACACATTCTACTCCGGCGGTTCATGTCTTGACATGTCTGATGAGGCTCCAGTGTGGTGTCCAGCTCCTGTCTTCTTTGAGGATAACACTTCTCCCAACTATGTTAGCTTTCTTGGCAATATTTACAACTTTGGATCTGTTTGCCTTGCGCCCCAGGTTCTTGAATGTGGTGCCCTTGGCCACTGTAAGTCAATTCGCTCTCTCCCTATCCCTCAAAGCCTTGCTGGTTGTAGTGTGTCTGTTCCTGTACTTCCCGACCCTTCCAACAAACGCATTCTTATGCGCCTCTATGGTGGTCCCCTTTCGTCGCCTTCCCTCTATGCTTTCACTCCCGATCCTTGTGCTGATGCTATTGGGACATGGGAATGTCTCACCTCTGATTTCCATCTTTGGGCTCATGCTGCTGCTGTTGTTAATGGGGTCATATATTTTCACTGCCATAAAGTTCCATCTCTTCTTTGTGCTTTTCATATAACCAAGAAAATATGGTTGAAAGTCTGGTGGGATTCGTGCTTTAAGGACAATGTTAATATGAATGCCGAAACTTTTAATTTCGATGCAATGCTTCATTTGGGCCACAATATTTTGTGCTTTGCTGGTTGGACACCAATATATTCCCGGACTGCTGTTTTTACCATCGAAGTCATATTTTACAAGTTCCAAGTGTTGGTCACCGGTGAAACTGTAACCGTCAAGGTCTGTGACTCCTACTCATATGAACTTCCGGGAAGTACCAATGTGTTTCATTTCCTCCCCATTTAGCAGGTACTCTTCTCCATCTAACCATCTCTTATTCTTGCTATTATTCTGTTACTTACTATCAAGGTATTTTACTGCCTCTTTTAATGTGGATTCGATTTATAATGCTAAATTTGTTCATCAACTTAGTTGTAAGAGGCATTGTTGGATAAATTTTCATTCCCAAAAATTTGGTTGTTTGGTAAAAAATTTTTTTACATATTTGGTTATCGATTGTGACTCACCAGTCGGAAATTCCTGGGTCCGCCACTGATTATATGTAGAAGATAATCTAATATATGTTACAAGTAAGATATATAAGAAGAATCTTAGTACTAGTACTAAGTTGAATACAATCTTAATTCATTAGTAAAAGCAATTGTTGTTTGACTGCATTATATATGTTGAAGATCTATATACAGTACTAGGAAATTTTGTTATGAGTTTGACTACTGTTTAATATACTGCTTAAAGTGGAAGCTAATAAGCTTTGATTTATTTAACCAACATAATGAAGAATAAAAAAGTTTAAATTAAGAAACAAAAGAATATGTTATTACTTTCTTTCAAAGGAAATATTAATTTCCATTACTTTATTTGGGGTAGAGAGTACTTCAGTGTTTAATTTAAATGCTGTTTATTATAGTCCCTAATTGAATTTGGGACATACATATGCTTAGGGTTCTGCAATAATATGTTTCCATTATTGGGAAAAATACAAGTAAAAAGTGAGCCCTTTGATTATTACAACCTTATAATTGAATTGATTTAACCTTGTTACGCATTAAGGTCCTATTCTATTCAATTTATTTTAACTTTATTCGAACAATATAAGTTCAGTTAACTTCATATAACTTCATATTTATATGGGTTGAGAATAGTTTTATTTGATAAGTTAAATAAATTCTACTATGGTGAAGATTAGATAAATTTAAATAAATGCAATATAAGTTCACATCAATTTAAATTAATTTAATAAACCCTAAAACTTAAATGCAATGTATAAATATTACTGACCAAGACCATGCATTATATTTTACACTATAGTCTATAGCTAGCACTTAAAAAAAAAAAAAAAAAAAAAAAAAAAAACAAATGAAATCTCTCCTTAATTAGTCAATTCACTTTGATGCCGTATATGAATTAATTTCTTGATATTTTGTCCATAAAAGGGTTGTTAGGCAAGAATTATTGAAAACGCCCAATCTTTAATCAGGGAATGCTACCCTATTATTCAGAGCAGCTCTTAAATTTCAGTCTGCTTTGCTTTAGCTTAGTGCAATATTGATATTTGTTAGAATTGAATTGAAGGTCTTCTTTGATTGAAAGACAATGATTTACCTAATATTTAGCATTTAACTAAGTTAAAATGTTATCATGCTTGTTTGATAACTTTTCATTTAGCATTTTGTATAGGAAATGCTAACTTTCAAAATGTTTTAAAAGTTGGAATTTTATATTGGAAAAACAACATTTTGGCCTACAAGGTCATTACCAAACACTTTATTTCGAAGATAACCGTTAATTACAATCTAATTGTATATAATTAGATGTCATAATTTCTAATTTAAAATATTAAAAGTGTACTTTTATATTTAGGGTATCGATACGGAGTATTACTTAAGAAAAAGTTATACTATAGAGTATTATTGATTTAGAAACAATATCATTATTCTGATTGTTAATACAATGATAGTACTTGTGAGTTATGATTTATTAACAATAATATTCAAAGTTGATATGTCCTAATCTGAGAACCCGGCCTAACCTAAGTGACCGGATTTAGTTTTTGATTTACATGGACACATACAATAATTTATAATGACTCAAATTTAAAATGATCCATCCATTGACACCTAATTTCTGAAATTTATTAAGGGGTCACCCCTGGTAGTAATGCATAATTGCATATGCATTGATGTTGGTCAGATAATCGATCTAATAAACAAAGCATAGTCTCTGGTTCTCTGAGAAATAAGATTGATAAAAGTTATCTACTAACTATAAATGACTTGGTCTATGAGCTATGAATAGTAAGTTGTCAGACTACATAATTTTTTCAGTGCATATGTCCATTAACTAGGTGGTTTTTGCCTTGTGGATATTAATTTGTGTGATCTCTATTTCACTAATGGAATTTGAATGATTATTGGATCACAAAGTCACAATGCAAAAATGCATATTAAATTAACACTTATATGTGTACAAATAAACCTCATATTAGGGATGGATGTAAACACCAATCTCAAAAATCTTTGACCCATTTTTAAGATAGATTACATCTTTGATTATATGAAGTATATGTGTATAGTAACTTCAAATTGATTAAGTACATAATACACACTATTAGAGCTCGCTAGCTAGATAGTAGAGTTCGTTCATCATTTAATGTTACAAATCATACATATATTGCTCCGTATGATTTATGAGTATAATATAAATCACCTTGTAGAATTTGGAAGTAGTGTACAATTCTTTCATATTAGGATAACTTGATCGAGTCACCATCCCTATATTACTTGTAACTAATCAAGCATGTCCTATGTTATACGAAGTACATAGGATGATTTCCTAAGAGAAAGGCATGATTGAATAAATCTAAAATTAATCAGTAGTATAATTAAGCCGACAAGTTCTCTATGATTGGATAATTATGTTTGCTAATCCTCGTTGAATTTCGTAATTACTAATAATTGTTTGCTTTTAAAGATATGATAATTAGGATGACCCTTAAGGCCTTGACTATCTTGGTGAAGCTGATTAAGAAATTGCTAAACCGTAGGACCTTTTTCTTTCACTTTAAAAGATTCCAAGACAGCCACTTTATAGATAAAAAGTAATCACTTAACTAATTACTTGAAGTTTTGAATAAAGGTAAGGTTTTTTTTTTTTTTTTTTTTTTTTTTTTTGTGTGTGTGTGTAAGTTAATTGAATCCATATCTCAATTATGATACGCTAAATGAATTGTCCACTTCTTTCTATCCTAACTGTAAAAATGATAGTCACATATATTACTTGTGAATGCTAAGATATGGTAGCTTTGATTCTTAATATAGTCTTTTGATTGATTAGACATTCTATAAAATGCTACTATAAATTGTTTGATAAAGATTTAAGGAAATAATAACCCAGCTATCTTTAAACTATTCCATGTCTTCAATTTGTGAGTAGGACCGATGTGATGATTTTTTTTTTTTGGCAGAATATATAAGTATTACTTAATACTCAGCTCGCTCTATTATGATATTGCCCTTTTCGCATGGCAGAGACTCGCATCCATACATTGATACATACTTTATTTATCTCTTTAGGCTAATACATGTCAATTATGTTGCAAATTTTCTCATCACCATACACCCCTTCTTATTTTATAGGAAGTATGATTTTGATATATACTAATGTAATATCATTTACAACTCCCTACCTCAATTAAAGTTATTAGATTGATTTAATGCATAATTCGTAAAATCGTAACCAATTAAGTATATGGTTTTTTTAAAAAATAGATAGTTTAAACTGTCTATGCGAAGCACTTTGTTATTTTTTATTAATTTTTTATTTTCTGTATTTCGAGATTTTTACAAATTAAAATGGATGTAGGAAGTGTCTCCTGATGTCATAAAAGTTGATTAGGAGTCTTAATATATCAATTAATAAATCTATTAAGTCTTGATAATAATTGTAATAGTAGTTTAGAGTAGCAAGCGATAGTTCCAATTCTTAATTAAGTGTTGTGAATCTTTCATACTCAATTAAGTGTTGTGAATCTTTTATTGACTTATCAAAACAATCCACTTAGCTAACAAAAGCACCATCCTTCCAATCTCAACTCGATTCAAGGATAATAGGAGGAACTTTTCCCTTGCACCGAGCCCTTTGTCTTGCTAATTAATTAAATATAGCACAGCTTTATTAATTAGTTTTCTATTATAAAATTCACTTGTTGCAACTTTATTAATTAAGGGTACGGTATGAAACTATGAACTACTACGAAGGGACTATATCAAAAGGAACAAGCTAAGGATGAAGCAATATATTAGGGTTTCATTAAAATTTCCCTACGAAGGCTTTAACCCTTCAGCATATAATATTCTATGTGAACAAAGGCCATGTATAACCGTTTCTAAACTTACTTGAGCGTACAAAATTGCTTATAAAAAATAGGTGATATTCGCTTTATCTCAAAATAATTGATATGCCTTTTTTTTTTTCAACATTCATGTATTAAATTTTATCATGAAAATGTTATTGAATAGGTATTATATATATTAATGTAAATGTTTATAATAGCAATTTTTTATGTTTTTATTAGTACTTAATTACATATATTTAAGGTTAAACTAGCGCATTGACATACTTGGAACAAAAAATATTATAGTTTATTTTTATTTTGAACTTTATAATCCATTATAATGAGGGTTTAATTTAAATTAGTCAATGGTCACGTACTCACGTAGACCCGTATTATTAACGTCAATGATTATATGGCTCAAAATTTGTCACCTGTTTAAATAATTTATCAATTTAGTACTCTTAGCTTGATTGTTATTGGTTAATAAGGTGAATCGTCATTTGTCCCCTTGATGTGATCAAATCATCAAAAACGTTGCATTTATGGAATCACACATGATAGAATTATAATGGCAAAAATAGCTATGGTATCAAGTAAAGGTATTATAGAATCTATGTAAAAAAAAAAATAGTATTTAGGCAAATATTTATTGTACTATAAGCTAAAAAAATTTAACTAAACTAGCAAAGAAAGAGGTATATATATTGAAGTTAAAAACGATGATATGTAATTTGGGTCATATGATTGTTCGATTGGTTGTCATAAAAATGATGATGATATTGAAGAGATTCTTTGAAAGAGTTGTCTCTTCAAAATCAATTAGAGCAGCCTTTACTCTCTTATCTTGTTAAATCAATTGAATGACAAGAGAGAAAGGAGTGAATGAGGCCATAAATCGCAATGAGTATATAAATGTCAAATCAAATCATTTCTAGATTTGTGGAATTGTTAAAATTGGCTATAATTGTTTTAATACATGCAAATTACTCTTGAATTTCTACGCATATCTATACTGCATATCTATACTTAGCGTGGAATTAGAACTTCCCATGTATTATTGCACAAATTTTTGAGAATTAAATTCCTATTATTAATTTATGGGAATTTTTTAAATTGTTTGGTTAACAATAAGGGAAGTAACTTTTTATGGAAATTTCTACTTACCTAAAAGGGACTAGGTAAGTAAATTCCTACCCTATATTTTGTGGGAACTCAAAATTTCTAGAAAATTTCATTTCCCCCATTTCACCAAACTTTTGTCAACCAAACAACACACAAAACTTGCAATTTTGAGGAAGTCTCA